TCAACTTATAAACAAAACCCGATAAAATCGATTCAATTTCTGTGACTGATGCTACTAGAGAGACTAGTAGACTACAGTTTAAAATTGACATGATGGACAAGCGGTTAATTTGAATACTCGTACCCTTACATAATGAAGGTAGCTTTTATCTCTACTTATATCTACATGCATAGCCATTACGGGCGAAAAACCTCTAGAATGAGCTCTACATCTACTTCCATTTGATAAGTTTGTGTGAACTGGGAAACAGAACAGCATAAAGGTTGTTTTTACCAAAAGCTTTTTACAACTAAATCCAACACTAATTGTCGAGTACCTAATTTTGCTTACCAGTGCATGTTTCATTCGTAGACATTATTGGAAGAACAGTCCCCGTCGTGGCACCTGCGACAGCGAGTGCCGCAAGCGGCTGGTGTGCGACGCGCGGTCGGGCCGCTCGCACGACCGCCGCGCCCTCTGTGGTCACATAGAAGCGCGCATTGACGGCGCTGCGCCCGCGCCGCAAACGTGGCGGGCGTGGTTCTATAACGGACTCTCCGTCTCGTAAGTTCCTGTGCAGACTAACGATTATAATACTATATGGTGGATGGGCACATAACTTTAAAAAAGTTTAATACTAAGAGTAAATTAAAAGAATATAATGTAAATATTTTAATTCTTTCACTGTACAAAAACTACACTGCTTAGTTCTGACTTATACAAATCCATACAAGTAGAGGTGCAGGAAAATGCTATTGGAATAATATGTAGAAAGGAAAAGGTTAGGTACCTACTTACCTTTAATATGTTGTACCTATAATATAAATATCGTGCGATATTTATATTATACCTACCTACTGCAATGTTTCTTCACACTTAAATCTTATTTTTCTAGTAGGCTAGAAAATTAAGATGTAAGTTATGCTCTATTAGAAGAAAGCTTTTGGAAAGATGAAATATTGACTTTCACTGGTATCTTAATCGACAACCTGTTTAGTACCTACAAACAGCTAAGCAATGTAAATATATTATTGTTTCGATCTGTGTACCTAAACAAGTTCACGTGATGCAAACGATAACAATATCGTACGATGCTATGTGCCTACACAACCCTACATAAATATGCATGTAGAGACGATCTTTATAAGTCATCGTACGGATATACCATTGACCTCTTTACAAATGACCTACGATACTTATATTCAGAGTTTAAATAAAAATGTACGAATGTTACATAGTTTTCATCGTCATTGTTATCGTTGTGTTCGCGAACAGTTAAGATAAAGCGCTAAATCTGTTTTTTTCTTGTGGTGTTGGTTCTAACTTTTCTTAAAATGTATATTTTTTGTATACCTACAGAGATAATATTCCTAGTGTACAGCAAGTATAAAGGTGGTGGATGTAACCAGTAGGTTAGCAGCACAGCTCTATAATCAAGGTTGGTATTCTTGGTGTATACCTTACATCAACTTATTTTGTATGTAACACACAAGATTATTATTACTCAATACGATTGCCTAATAAATCTTTCTGTATTTCTTCGGTGAATGCGATAGATCTCTATTATATTAAGCTTTCCCTATAAAAAGAATATAATAATCTTATTTAATTACGGTAAGTATTTGCTATAAGTATCTCTTTTGAAACTAAAATTATGTAGAGGAGTTAATTTGAAATTACTTTAAAATTACAGTTTAAAGACAAATAAATGTAAAGTATAGAAACAATAGGTAAGCTCTGAGAAATAAGGTAAACGAGTTGTTATCAGTTTTTTTACTGATATCAAACGGTCGATAGATTTTAGACGTATATAGGATGTCCTAAAAAGTAGTGTCAAGCTGAAGCCCAGAGGTAGAGCGTCACTAGGGCTATCCAAATCACCTTTCTATTTTCGAGATTTTTGATAAGTTTTCGAGATAAGATTGTTTTACATTTCTGCGCTTAGACACTTTTTGGTCACTGTGGCGCGAATAGGCAAGTTACATGCCTGATTTTTTTATTATTATTAGATGAATACTAGGCCTAGCTGGTTTACATCTACATATAACACGAATGTAAACTAAAATCCTGTAGTTATAACTATCAAAAGTCACAGTGATTTGGGTAGCTCTAGTGATGCTCTACCTCTGGGCTTCAGCTTGACACTATTTTTTGGGACATCCTGTATAAATTCGTGTTTGTAATACACATTGTATTAATTAAAATTTTCAGTGGTACTAACAAGTTAATTATGTACGCGTTTGTTTCAGAATGTCAATGATAATGCAATTACCTCAAGTGGCCTATCAAATACCAAAATTTGTGATGGGCCTCGGCTGAAAGAAGCGGAGCTCACATCCTGGGTTATATCAAATCACATCACCGGACTAGCCATTGATTAACAAGCTGTTGTTTCAATGTAAATTATTTAAATACATTAAATTATTGCAATCCCTCAAAGGAATTGCGCATTTTACTACATTACGACAAATTTTATTGTGAAGTGCCTGGTTCAAAAAATGTTTAATAGATTTTAATAGTCTATTGAATTCTTGGAACACAAATATTAAAATAATAATTAAGTATATCATTTTATCGATGGTAAATAGAAAATACATGTGTTATTCTTGTGTTTTACTTTATAAGACTTTTGTAAATAAATAATGTAAATGGTCAAACAAACACGTACTTTGATTTTACCCAAATGTAAATGAAAAATACTATTATTAAATTAAGAATTTATTACGATCTAATTACTAATTTACAAGAGAGCTTTTCAAGCGTATTATAGTTAAAAGCAAAGATCACATCATTGTATAGCAACCATACTATACTGTACATGCCTAGCAAAAATGAAAGTCCAAAAGTATTCATCATTATTTTAAAAAAGTTTACTTAGTTTCATGCAGACAGTACAGTATCATTGCTATAATATGGCTGACATTTGCTGAATTTAAATTAATAAAATATTGGTCCCGCCATTGAGGAATTCATGACTTAGGAGTCAAAATAATGTTACTTACTAAATAATAATAAAAAGAGGTATCTTGCCACTGGTAAATAAAATTACAAATAAATAGGTTACCCATACCATTTTGATAGAAATAAGGCATTTGATACTAAACACCAATTTTAAATTATTAAGTAGGTAAGTAATCTTAATCAATGCCACATAAAAATAGTTTTTGACGGATTTCCATTAAATGTTCGATTTTTTTTACATTATGCCAATTTTTATTAATAAATCAAGATTCTCTACTTTAATTTCACACATACAATATTTGGAATTTGCGTTTATATTAGTAATTTTTGTATGAAAAATTGGACATATTTTCATTTCAATTAAAAATCTGACTATCTATTGAATTTTTGGTTATTGAAATTAAGCATGTGAGAATAAATACCAATCAAGATTTATCGAATAAAATAAATAAAGGGCTTAAATAATATCAAGCATTAAGGAACCAAAAAAAGTTAGAATAAAACTTTTCGATATACACCTATTATAAAATAATAATAATAATAGCAGACCTAATTATTCAAATTAAAAATTGACGAGTGTCGCCTAAAGAACACACAATTAAAAGTTCGCGCCGAAGTAGGTAAATGAACATCACTGACTGCCTTTTTAAGATGCGAGTTAAAAGCTGACTACAGACCACAACTACAGGGTCTACAGGTGACTTTTCGACCGGTTTCACGGAATTCAGGTTCAACTTCGGTTCGTTGTACCGAAGTTAGGCGAAATTCGTATGTAAAATACGCTGCAGATAGTCCTTGCCATAGCTATTACTTCACTAAAAGCGAGATGATGTGGTATGGGAACGCGACAACTAATCCGAAAAAAAAAAAACAAGGTCGGAAGTAGCCTTGCAGACAAATTAATACAAATTTTGTCAAATTTCGCATTCGGTTGAATTGGCCCATCTCTATCCAGGAGTCTAGGACGATAAGAGCAGAAAGTGGGATTTAATATTTGTGACGGGTGTAATGTGTAATGTAAGATTACGTGAAATGTAAACACGAATTCTACGTGAGGACGGCACTACGACCATCACGTGTAAAGTGCTGTCCATACTATTTCCATTACATTACACGATACAAACATTACGCGTTACACCAGTCTGGAGCCGGCTTTAAATAGGAGCGCTCTGTAGTTGCTGTAAGTATGCAGTCGGCTTCTTGATGCAGAGGTTTGTTTTAACGTGTGTTATTTAAGGATCACTCTCAGAAATTGTAATTAAGAGAGGCAATATGACACAGTTTTGACAATTAATGTTATCAATTTATATAAATGAGACTTAAAACTATTTAAAGTGATGTATACTGCAGTCTTTTGAATAATTCAATTGATAAAACAATTTTAGAGTGGAAATTTTCAATGAAGGTATTTTGATTCACAGTCTCTTTGTAAGTACCAAAATTTAACAAGGAATGCAATGAGCATTCAATATTATGGCAATTTTTTGAGATATATCTTCTTCTTATTGGGAAACTCATTCCTTAATCATCAAAATAATGAACAAAGAGTGATATTCGAGATCACAGATTACCAAAATCGTAAAGTATTATTAAAATAATGTCAAATATTAAAACATATTTAATACAAGCAATTAAAATATGGAATGTTGGATTCAAGGATAATGTCAGGGAAAACAAGTAAATACAAATAGACAAACACACACTCACATAATATGTACACAGAGAACACAGAATTTAAAAAAAAAAAAATTACTAAATTATACATACTATAATACTAATAACTAAAACCAGACTATCCTATGGAAAAATTAAAATCCTAAAGAAAATGCAATCATCATGGCATAAAACTGTGTAATGGTTTTTGTTATAATTTATTGGTTGAGTAAATACCAAATTGTGGATTTTTTATGGAGGAATTTACATTAAATAAAAACTCAATAAAACATCTTCTTGCCACTTCTAATTTAAAAAATACTTAATCAAACCTTTTAAAAGAAGTTGGATTACAAATTAAATCCTGATTAAAAGTTATAAAATCAAGTCGGTGTAAAATTAGGATATGAGTATTTACAGAAAATTTATTTCTGATAATAATATACTAACTAGAAATCATGGCATTATGACATCAGTCTACATGTTTCAATTTAATCATCTAAAAATGGCACCTCCTCTGCTTAAAAAATAGAGGAAACTTAATTAAAGAAGAAGTTGTGTTTGTTTGTTCTCTTCTCATAAAAAGCTATGCAGTATTTATTTGTACTTTGCAGCATTAGAATCACTGCGACACACCATAATCTCAATGAGTAGGTACAGTCTTACATCATAATAACATTATCAAACTGCTTCATTCTTTGGAATTGAAGTACAAAATATTTACATAACCTACTTATAACAATATATCACTGGTTTCTAAAATAGTATTCTAATTCAACTTAAAACAGTAGTCTTTTCAGTTTCTTTTTACTTTTATTCGAACTCACAGGACATGTATTTTTCTTTCTTTTGGATGGACTTGGACCATCAACAAGATCATATTGAAAACAGTTTCTTCCCTTATGTCTTTCATATTTACATAGTCTACAAAACTGATGTGCACATGACGTACTGGTACACTCTCCCCATTGCTCACCTGAAGACTCGATGGTCACCTTGGCAGGATACCCACAGTTGGTGCATACCATTTGGGAGCGTGCATCAAGAGAGGCAGCCTGGAAATGGAAATAAATCATAAATATTAGTAATCTCATAAAACAGCAAAATCATTAAGATTATAAAATATTTNAAATCATACTTATTTATATTAGTTACCTTGGTGAATTTGTGAAATCTAGTTGATCTTGGGCTTCGAGTAGGACTATGGGGAGTGCTTTGAATAATGTTGATGTTTTGAATCTCCTTCAGAGTTCTGATCTGGTTACCACCAGATACCTTAGGTGTATCACCCCAGTTTTCCAGATTGCTTTTGATTGTACAGAAGAATTCTGTATATTTTTGTTTGGTGTTTACAGCTTTAAAAATATTACACCATATTGGGCTCACTAATGTGAAGTTATAAAGGTCTTCTTGGGATAAGTAGTGAAATATTTTTTTGATTGATGTGCTACAGTAGTTTTCATGACTATACAACATTTTGATGATATCAATCTTTTGGTTTGGTTTATACCCAAACTTGTTGCTAATTGATTCCTTTGATTGTATTTTAGGTTGGGATTTTAACACTTGCTTCTCACATGATAGGGAATGAATGGCAAAATCTACTTTTCTAGCTGATCTTCTTCGATTAAAAGGGCTTAAATTGCAGCTGCTCCTACAAATCTTTTTGATTGGAGTTGAAGGATTAGAGACAGAAGATCCATAGTAATCTTTGCCATACACATCATCAATAAATCCAGAATCAGCAGAAGTTGCTTTGATAAGTTTGTTGTCATTTACTTTAAGTTTTTGTACTTCTTTTGCTATAATACTGGTTGGTGTAGCAACTGTAGTAGAATTCACTTCATTGGCGCCATCATCATAGGATCTTTTCGTTCCACGCCTTGCTATTGGGGTAGACTCAGAACTGGAATCTGTATTCGTCAAATTATAGCAGTTGTAATACCGACTTTTACTCAATCGGGCTTCTGTTGCAGGAGTTATATAACAATCCACTTTTATTTTGCAATTGATGTTGGGAACAATATGAGAAGGATCCAAACTATCATTGGACAGGCTGGAGCTTTCCAATGAAGGCGTTGCAAAGGATGTATGATAACCACTGTCTTCCGCTTTATAAATCTTGTAGGATAATGGAGTTGCAAGTTCTCGTGATGTAGGTTGAATATCCATGTTTAACAAAGTAGTTGGAATATAACTAAGCCGATTGTAATTGTTGTAAACGAATGTTAGCCATTTACTTTCTGGAACCACTGAAGGAAGATAGTATAAACTGTACAAGGAGACTAATCCATTTTAAGGCAAATTTTCACATTAAATGTGATTATTCTCCACAACAAACGTTAAAAAACGCCACAAGAACGACTAAAATCTAAACAAACCAAACTAACCACGAAAAACCACAAACTATGCTTCTGTCAGTGTCAAAATCTGGCTCGAATTTCGAGTCAGTTTTTGGGTCATAGACATTTTTTTCTTTATTTGATTCCTTCCTTTTCAAAAAAAGGCAAAGGCATTACNACCAGGTTACTTAAAATATTATTTTTTCGTAAATTTATGAAAATATCAAATTAGCCCGTAATCCAGAATCCTGATACATAAAGTTAGCCTATTAATTTAACACAGGTACGACTGTACTCAGTGTTGCACTATCAAATGCAATTGAGGCGCCTCTATGCCAGGGTTTTTATGTTCCTGGTCAGGCTATAAATGATATCCCTCCCTCCCCACCCCTTGAATTTCAGTAAAGATGTGCTTTACAGACTTTTTAATGGACTACCTACTTGAAAGAATTTGAAAAGTTATGTTGCACTGTTTTATTTTATTTGCCTACACATGTTCACGAGACTAAACGATAGTCGAATAAACACTATCCTTTCCTTCTTGGTCTTAGATTAAACACAACTAAAAAATTAAAAAAACATGACGCTTTACTTTCCCGCCAAGAAGTTTCGGGTCATAGACACTTTTTTTGTTAGATTATTTCCTTTTCAGGAAAATGCAAAGAGGCAAATAAATACGCCATACTACGCTTTATCTTCAGGCTCGAAATGGGCCCAAAACTAGCAAAAAAATTTTTTAGAGCGCTACGAACAACAAGAAAAATTGTTTTCTGTTTTTTTATAAACATAATTATTGTAAGTTCTTCCCCTTCCCATGAGTTTGAAAGAAAGAATTCTCTAAAAAAAATGGTGACTAAGACAAGATTTGGCTGTATGATCGAGATCCGAAGCCGTAAAACATAGTGTAAAAAAAAGCTTGTTGACGTTTTTATTTTTAAATCTAATAAACGCTTGAAAAAAAATTTGTTAGAGCTACCAATTTTAGAATTAATTTGTTATGTTTATTGTTTTCAGACTTGTGATTAATGTAAAAATATTTAGCTAATAAGTAATAAGAGTGCGTCGAATCGCTATAGAACATGTAAACAACATTTTGTACACAAAAGATCTTTTCATGGAACAGTTACCAAAAACTTGATGAATATGGCTATGAATGTAAAAGAATTATGCAGATTATGTGCTAAAAAAGACGATTTTACTAAAGATTTACTGGATGTGAGTAACAGAAGCTTATTAAAGCTAACTAAGGATCTGGTGCAGATTTCGGTAACTACACTTTCAATAATATAACCTATGAATACCTTTGTGGGATATTCTTTGTGTTTCTCAATTCCTATAAAGTTTTTTAATTTCGTAGTGCTTAATTGTGTGTTGAATTCATTATTTGATTGTATATTTAAACTTTCAGATTCATGAAAATGATGATTTACCTACACAGATTTGTTTAAACTGTGAAGAGAAGATGGTGTCATTTCAATTATTTGTTTTGGAGTGCTATAAGGCCCAAGATACCTTAAAAAGTTTGTTCTATGATTTAACAGACGATGTACCAGTTAAATTGGAAACAGATGTTGACTATCAAGTTTCCATTGTTAAATCAGAGGTAATATTGCAATTTTATCCTTATTCCTGAATCTTAAACTTAAGGTACATAACTTTTTTTAAATTACATTATAAAAAGCTACACCTAAAGATTCTTGTCTCAAAAAGTATTGCTTAACTGAAATTTCTTTTCAAATCCAAGTTAATGTTTGAATATTATAAAGCTATAAAGGGTTTAGTGAATTAATATTTTTATTGGCTGTTATACTAAATTAAAAAAGATACAGATTATATTGTATACCTAAAATTTTAGTGATTGTTTCCACAGGTGAAAGATGAACTGTTGACTGAAGACCTTGTTATATGTAAGTTTAAGCTCGTAACATTAAAATGACATTAAAATGAATGAATATATTAATAAATAATATTAATTTTGCTACAGGTCAAGTCAATAATGATGCAGATTTGGCAAAAGATGATGACTTTAATGATTTTTCTCATCAAGATGATGATGATGATGACGATGATGATTATATGACACTAGCATCACTAAAAGAAGAAAAATCGAATGAAATAGAAAATGATGGAGCCAAACGAAAATTTCCTAAACAAGAGAAAATCAAGCGTTATAAGAAAAAAGTTGCATCTCCAGAAGAAGTCGAAAAAGTACTGAAAAAATCTAATTGTAAAGTTCGTGATTTTGTAAAGTAAGTGCTTTTTATTTTACAATCTCAAATATAGATTTTTAACACTTTAATATTATTTAATTTACTGCCGATGAATGCAGAGACATTGTCTTTGTTATTCTGCTGATAGTCTTTATTTTTATTATTATAAATTATTTTTCTAGACTGCAGTGTGATATCTGCGACCTAAAACTGAAGACGTGGAGTGAATTACGACTTCATTTTCACTCGGCACATAAACTTAAACCATCAATTAATTGTGTTTGTGGATTTGTGATAAAATCTAAGAGTGTTCTTTACAAACATGTGTCAGAACATAAAGCTAATGATAGCAAATCAAGTGGCAGCGATATGGACTCTAAATATTCCAACCTCAAAGTTTATGATTTTGTTACGTATGTATACTTACTCATAAATAATTTTTGTGCCAATGAATTTGAAGTTTTAAGTAATATGTATTTTATTGTGTTTCTAGATTTAGTTGCACGGTCTGTCAGAGGAAGTGCAGTAGTTGGTACACTTTGAAAAATCACAGTGAAAGGGCTCATAGGATAGCACCAGTAGTACAGTGTATTTGTGGAATTACACTGAAGTCTAAATCTGTTCTGTATAAACATATTCAAGATCATAAAAATCCAAATATGTTAAGGTAAGTAATACTCTACCTTGCAGTCTTCTGATAATTTACGTTTTTATCTAAATAAGTTATTATTCAAAATATTACATTTCTAAATTATATTTGCAGTTGTGACAAGTGCCCAAGGATAACAAAAACAATTGAAGCACTTAACAAACACAAAATGAGACATGTTCCAAAATCAGAAAGGAAATTCATTTGTAACAATTGTAATAAAATATTTATCACAAAAGATGCTTTAAAATCGCATGAAAGATCTCACATCCCTATTGAAGACAGAAAGATATATCATTGTGGGATTTGTGAACTAAAGTGAGTATCAAATGTCAAGTTTGAGCTAGCATAATAGCCTTCAAATTAGAGGCGTGGGGAAGCGCTGCAGTGGAGTCCTTGCCGCGCCACCAACAAATTTTCATACCATATCTAAAGCACGGTCTGTGAGCACGTAGAATTTTGTCCAATGACCCCAGTCAGTGGACACATTTGTCACGGCAACCATGTGCGGCTGTTGCGCTTCTAGAAATTGTATGAAAATGAGCAATAGTGGTAGCTCAGATCATAGAAGGGACTAGTGCAGGCAGCGCTTCCTCATGCCTCCAATTTGAAGACGCCTGCATAGTTGGAGGAATTTATCCGTTATTGTTATGGCGTTAAGGTTCACGACGCGTTCGTCGGTTGCGTCGGCCACAACAAAAAATAGTGAGCTTGGGAATTTATCCGTTATTGTTATGGCGTTAAGGTTCACGACGCGTTCGTCGGCCGCGTCGGCCACAACAACAAATAGTGAGCTTGGGAATTTATCCGTTATTGTTATGGCGTTAAGGTTCACGACGCGTTCGTCGGCCGCGTCTCACAAGCGCGTGGTGCACGACAAGATCAAGAGCTACGTGTGCGACTTGTGCGGGTACGCGTGCGGCACCAATGGCGAGTTGCGCCAGCACCGCGCCATACACAGCGACGACAAGCCCTTCGTGTGCAAGACGTGCAACAAGTCGTGAGTAGTCTTTAACCAACACAATAAAGGTGGCTCCTCAGTGGCGCTGCCACATGAAAAGTGAAAGCTAATAAAAAGTTACACACGCGTTAAACAGGAGTTTAAAATAACATTTCCATACCTTAAAATAACATTACATACAAAAATCACTTTAAACGCGGGCGTTCAACACATTTGTAAGGAAAAGATTTTATTGCACCATCACCAAAATGGTGGCGCTGTTTGATTATTACATCGTAGTAATGATACGAAAACTGCAGTTTCAAGACGCATTCGAACCTGAAGATGCACATAGGCACGTATGAGAACTCGTACCAGTGTCTAATTTCCCGCTATCATAACAAAGTTTTAGAGTATTATTTTAAAAGTTTTTACTTTTTTTTATCTTTTGCCTACATCTGACTAGATTGAAAGTCATGATCAGGTTGAAAGTAGAAGCGAGCTTCACCCAGAATCTTCAAACAGCAGAACTATCTTTCGTACTTAAAACTGTGGAAACTTAGCTGATGTCTGAATTATTTTTAATATGACTGGGATTTCCTTAATATTAATAAATAAAATTTCCCAGCTTCAAGACGCATTCAAACCTGAAGACGCACGAAGACACGCACGAGGCGACGTCGTATCAGTGCTACGTGTGCAGCCGCGTGCTCAACAGCCGGCGCACGCTGCGCAAGCACCTGCTCGTGCACGAGGAGAAGTGCCGCCACGTCTGCTCCTACTGCCACAAGGCGTTCAAGAGGCGGCAGACTCTCAAGGTACAAACATTGATACATTTACTATCAAGACACGCACGAGGTGACGTCGTCAGTGCTACGTGNAGAAGTGCTGCCACGTCTGCTCCTACTGCCACAAGGCGTTCAAGAGGCGGCAGACTCTCAAGGTGCAAACATTGATACATTTTACTATTATTTCATGGGCATTTACATGTAATGTTCGTAGTGCCGTCCACACGTATAATTCGTGTTACATTACACGTAATCTTACATTACACTCGTCTGGACCCGGCTTTACAGCTGATGGCACGGCAAGCTAAATAACGTGCAATTTTGCAACAAAAATCGGTCACACTAAGTATAATTTTTTTTTACAATTAGAGGAGCAAAATGAGAACAAGTTCACGATGGTAACTCATCTGATATGATTAGCCGTGTCAAATATCTCTGGGTATTATTTAAAATTAACTTTTGTAATCCGAAAGTGTTCATAGACTACTTAAAATACCCTTGGCCACGACTTGAGAGAGCTTGAGCTTAAAAACTACTGAAAGTATGTCGCATGTATGATGTGGCGATCTGCAGGGGTGGATTATATCTGTCACTAGGAACTTCATATTTTCACGGTTCAGCAGACAGTTTTGAGACGATGAAGTGTGACGTCACATATCATGATGTGCTGTCCATTACAACACTAATATTCTGCACAGGTCCACTTATACACGCACACGGGCGACAAGCCTCTGACGTGCAAGTGGTGCGACGAGCGCTTCGCGTACGCGTCGACGCTGCGCTCGCACCGCCTGCGCTGCCACCCCGACAAGATGGCGGCGCAGGCCTCCGCCAACAGCTACGCCGGCTATGCGCACCACTCCGCCGTGCCTATACAGCCGGCTGACGTCACTATCACGGTAACTATACAGTACTAGCTGACCCGGCGAACTTTGTTCCGCCTTAATGGCAATAAATAAGCAGACTTTTTTTTAATTTCGAACGGGATGAAAAGTATCCTATGTCCTTCTCCTGGCTCTAAACTATCTCCCTGACAATTTTCAGCTAAATTGGTTCAGCCGTTCTTGAGTTATAAGCGAAGTAACTAACACGACTTTCTTTTATATATATAGACTAGCTGACCCGGCGAATTTTGTTCCGCCTTAATGGCAATAAATAAGCAGATTTTTTTTTTCGAACGGGATNTTCGTCGGTTGCGTCGGCCACAACAAAAAATAGTGAGCTTGGGAATTTATCCGTTATTGTTATGGCGTTAAGGTTCACGACGCGTTCGTCGGCCGCGTCGGCCACAACAACAAATAGTGAGCTTNCCTTCTCCTGGCTCTAAACTACCTCCCTGACAATTTTTAGCTAAATCGGTTCAGCCGTTCTTGAGTTATAAGCGAAGTAACTAACACGACTTTCTTTTATATATATAGATATATATATAGATTACTACTCCTTTACTTGCTATTGCTACTTTAGTTCCTTGCGTGTATGCACTACAGAGGTTCCCTAACGTCCACTGCTGGACAAAGGCCTTCCCCAAGGATTTCCACAAAGACCGGTCCTGCGCCGTTTGCATCCAGGCACCTCCCGCGACCTTCACCAGAACGTCGGTCCACCTAGTGGGAGGCCTGCCCAAGCCACGTCTTCCGGTTCGTGGTTGATCGAACCTTTCGACCATACAAAAAATTCCTCGGCTCCTCACCCCCCTCCTCCAGTCAAGATTATTTATTGGTCGTATCGAGCAGTCTGGAATGCATTCTCTCAGCGGTCGCAGGTTTTTTATACTCAAGTGCACAGATAGCCCGCGCCCCCCTTTAAAGGTCTTTGCGCCCCCACTTTGGAGACGTTAGCCACCGGATTCATCTACTCCAGCTACTCGCACCAATTCGCCGCGTGCATACAGGCACCGACAAGGAGTCGTTTTTCTCGATTTTACTGGCTGGAACTGGCGTCTCTATATCACATGCATATGGCTACAATCCACATGTATCGTCTCTATATTGCGTGCATGCCGCTACATGCGGCTATACAGAGGTTCCCTATCTATTGACTGTGTTGGTAGGCCAACACCGGCAAGGTCTACTCGTCTCTTTGACCGTAAATAAATGTATGCGGGCTATTAAAACCTTGCGTTGTGTTGTGAATTGCTTAATTTTTTTCTGATTCGTCTCTTAGAAATAGGCATCTCTTGAAATAAGCGACGTGAAGCTAAAACAAAAATGTTTTTTTTTCAGAATTACATCAAAAACGACGTAGCGGCCAGCTCAGTAAACATTGCGAAGAATGAAGTCGAGGCTATGTAGAAGTAAACGTAGTGTTAAAGATCATTGTTACGTACTGTATTAGATCTTTTTACATTAGTATAGTTATTACAATAGCAATTGTATGTATATTAAAGATATATAGATATCATTTACAAATATCACCGTTTTTATTGTTATTTACAACAAGCATAGATTACATAATAAAGTAAGAAATATTGATGATACTAGTTCATAGTACATAAAAATTATTTGACTCATTGATTTACAAATTATTTACTTGTCTTCGAATCAACATGCCTCGTTGTAACTGCATGCAATAACTACAAAGCAATTGGACTAACGAAGCGTCCTGTATAGATGTAAACAAATAAATCGGGTATGATATTCGTAACGTTGAGTTTCATTTGAATGTATATTGCTTCATGTAAGCGAATGCCGATGACATGTAAACAAAACTTAGCATTTAGATGCGCGTTCGATCCGCTGTGTTGTCATAGGAATATCGGTTAAGTAGATGTGTCGGCAGCACCCTGCGTTCGAAGTAAATTGCGGAAAACCTTTCTATTTATAACCTCTCGAGAAACACGAACAGAACAATTTCCTTCCGTCCCTAGTAATAGACGACGAGAATTAAATTTACACGGGACCAGTTTTTAGGATACATTTATGTTTGTTTCCTCAGATCGTAATCTGTAATACTATTTGGATAATATACGTTTAATACATAGCTTAGGTGGTGTCGATTTTTCTTTTATAGCCTGACCAGGAACATAAAAACCCTGGCATAGAGGCGCGTCAATTGCATTTGATAGTGCAACACTGAGTACAGTCGTACCTGTGTTAAATTAATAGGCTAAATTTATGTAAGGTACTTGATACAAATAAGGCCTACGTTCTAATAAGGCCTATACATCAGAAAACACAGATAAATAAATCCAACCGGGACAATACTTCAAGGACACGTACTCATATGCCCTATAACCCAGTAGAGTGCTAGAGCATCCCGATCCACGATCCCAGCACCAATTGGCACGCGTTCTTCTAAGGTGGTGGGTGATTTCGTGCTCCTTTATAAAAATCCGGCGATTTCTACTTAAGTTTTCGGTAAAATGACGCTGTTTTAGATTAAGCTTTTCTTAGTAATCGTTTCTAAATATATCTTACTAGCTAATAATTACTTTNAAGAAAGTTAAGTTCGTAATAAATATACCTAGGTGCGCATTATAAGCGAAGCAAAATAGGAACGTTACGTACCTATTATCCCACTTTAAACGTGTGGCTAAGTATTTAAAGTAGTAGGTGGTACTATGCCTGCATAGCATCTGGTTCGCTATTAAAAGGAACCAATTAGTATTACGGGTCGTGTAGGTATTTACTGTTGAATCATTTAATGGTTGTTGATGGAAGGTGTGTCATGAATAGATTTTAGCTAAGCAGAATTCGTATTTTCATGTGCTTAAACTTTCAAATCTTAATCTTTTCTGATTTGCGAACAACTTTTGCGTTAATATTTCTACTAAGTATCTCCATTCAAGAACTCGTTGATGGTTTACTCCCTTGAGGGGAGTAAAAGAAAGTCGTATAAAATATTTAGAAGCCAATTTTACTCAGCAGCCTAGTTGAAAATAAAATTTCCAGAGAAGGAGAATAAAATGCCAATAACGTGCCATTATCGGGCCGTTTCGTGCTGTTTTGCATTGCTGGCGAGCGCACAAGCGCTTTGTGTGAGAGCAACTAAAAGTAAAGCGCGCCGGTATTGGCGGTGGATCCACGCGGAGATAAGGCGTCACACGTCAGCGCGTTGGCGCGACGCCAAAAGCTGCCAGTGCGGCTATCGGGCACCCAAAAATTTTACGCCACGTAAACATGCACATTGCACAAGCACATTGCATACTATCTACCTATCTAGCTAGCTAGACCCTAAATTAGACAACTAAAACAATAAACTTTAAACTACGACAATGCTTTGAGATAGACGGCGGCGATGCAGATGAATCCTTGCGGAGATGAGGGCTGTCTCGTCAACGGGCTGGCGCGCAGCCAATAGCCCGGTGCTCGGAGTTCGGCATAAAGACGTATACACACTGTTATAAATAATTGAATGCAGTCAATGTTATATAATATCATTGAATGCAGTTAAATAAAAACAACAATAAAAAACCGGCCAAGTGCGTGTCGGACTCACACGGGTCCGTACCATTCATTTATGAAATTATTATTTTTTTAATTAAAGTTATTTGTATGAAAGATTACGCGGTAATAAGCGGTTTACGACTTCCGAGGTATTAAAAAAAAACTACTTACTAGATCTCGTTCAAAACAATTTTCGTTGGTAGTTTTTATAGTAATGTACAGTCACGGAATGAAAAGGTTCGTCAGTTTTCAAATTGATTCCTTCAACGAATCACGAGCACATATTACCTTTTAAAACTATGTTACAGAATAATCTCGAGTTAGAGAAAATAATCTTTAACTGTTCGTCAGTAAAGTTCAAAATTATTCAGATCAAAGTTGTTTGACGATTTAACTTGTCAAGAAGATTATTATGATTGATAAACTAAAACCTTCTTGTTGGTTCAACCTGCCATTATCCAGTAATAAAAAAAACTACATTTTGTAACATTGCACTGATGGGATAGAAAAATAAACAAGCAAAACCTTATTCGTTAGCAAACGTCATATTTATTTAAATGTTAGCAGCAATGTTTCTTGTACAGTTATGTTGGCAGGTTTGACTCTTACAGTACCTAGTGCAAGCGAAAACCGACACTAAGGTGACGAACCTTTTCGTTCCGCGACTGTACATCATATGTTTTTTTTAGATTTTTCATTTTCTTATTTTAGAAGTTAGAGGGGGGGGGGGACCTACTTTTTTCCACTTTGGAAGCGTCTGTCACGCAAACTATTCGGTTTAGAAAAAAATAAGTATTTTAGAAACCTCGATATCATTTTTGAAGACCTATCCATAGATACCCCACACGTATGTGTTTGATGAAATAAAAAAATTTGAGTTTCAGTTCTAAGTATGGGGAGCCCCCAATATTTATTATTATTTTTTATATTTGCATCAAAATCTTAAAGCGGTTTACAGTATACTTTTACATCTACCAACCAAGTTTCAACAGTATAGCTCTTATAGTTTCGGAAAAATGGCTGTGACATACGGACGGACAGACAGACAAACATGACGAATCTATAAGGGTTCCGTTTTTTGCCATTTGGCTACAGAACCCCAAAAAAAGTGCCTTAGTTACCTTAGTTTCCCTGCCATCTGTTATTGTGTATGATGCCTTTAGGTAGAGGTACAGTCAGAAACATAGCAATTTACATTTTTATAGAAAATATCTCATATAATAATAGAGATACAATAATACCTAATACAGAAAATATCTCACCTATTATTACAACAACCTTTACTAGGTACATAAAAATCTATTCAGATAGTTAATAAGTTAATTAAAGCGCCACAGTGAAAAGCTTAATTTTATTTGCTGTTGTCCACACACAGAATAACTTAACCATAGCGATTTATCTATCGATTTTTTTCTAAGAGTCACAACATGCGTAATATGGATAAGTAACCTTGAAGTGTCATATTGATTGTGATCTTGATCATCAAGTGAAAAAGACTTCAGCAGTACACATACTTTTTAATTAATTTAATAAATTATTCTAAAAAGTAATATTAATTAAATACATACGATTTGAGGATACACACAAAGTGAGCACGTATTCGTTGCGTAAGAAATACCTACACTACACCAGCACTGGAGAAACTTGGAGAAACTAATAACGTTACGTCATCGTGACAGCAGTTTATAGGCCTTATAGATGACCCACGCTGAACTGTCCTACCAAACTCAATGACAGGGGGGCGCTACCATCGTTCAACTATATGGTTTCCAACATGGCAAAAATCGGAACCAGCGATTCGATATTGACGGTGGCGCCCCACTGTCAATGTCATCGATAGGACAGTTCAGTATTTTGGAACTATATCAATCAACGCGAAATGTCCAGCCAACACCTGTGATACTATTATAGGACGCGATTATTAATTATTTTATTATAATTAACTGCTATTCAATATAGCTGAGAATGAAAAAGTCATATTATCTAACTTACTTGAATTACACATTCTCAAAGTGTATATTTAAAAAAAGTAAAGCTCTACATTTTACAATAACTCTCAATAAGTATAAATAAGTTAAAACCAAGGTTCGTATGAAAGACAGTTCACGTTCTGAATGCGGTTAGACAGCGGCATAAAATATTACAACGGGAAACAAAAATATTTCACACAGAAAATACATTTGTCTTCTATGATTTGTGTTAGGTTACTTACATTCTTGCGAATTCGTACGTATAACGTATGTAACATAAGTACGCACGCATTTAATATTTTAGGTAGGTTACTTAGGTATTTCTGAAAAACAGGTGAAAGTCTAGAGGTAGTTCTTTACTACAAGAAATAATATGTAATATAAAAGTAATGAACAGTAAATATTTTTTTCTCTAATGAGAATCCATCCATTTGACAAAGGTGTAGAGTTAGAAACTTGGCTCTACATGAGATGATAACTTTTTCACTCACCACTGTGATAGTGACTGGTAGGTAATTCCTGCTTAAATTATTGGTAATTAAAAAACAAATGATCATCGGATATTTAATAAAATGTCTTGCTTAAAAGCTTTTAATGACTGAACAAATAAACACCTCTATCCAAAATCTTGAAGGAAGAATTCCGTGATAAGTGAAATAATCCAATACAGAAACGTGAAGGGTTCGTAATATAACTGGGATAAAATATAAGTAACCAGTGGATTATCTTTTATTTTATAGCCTCTTCATTTCAGTATTGGGAAGCAGTACACGATATTGCTGTTACTGGTATTAAATATGTACGTGGGCACCTTCCTACCTACTCACCTATTCGTTTCTCTACAATTCTGCTATTTACTGTAAATCCTTGAGTAATAACGGATCTAAAACGTGATGTAGGTTGAAAAGACCCAATCAATGAAATGGAAATTGAATGTAGGAATTATAGTGACAACGTATTATTTGTCTATAAAATTAAGTGATAGGTATAATTTAATACTAAATGTAAGAAAACAAACAATGAATATAGGTGCTTAATTCTCGTTAATCTATTATTCCATTAAACGTACAAAAAATTCACGCGCCGAACACGTTTCGATAATAACTCAATAATAAATGTGTTATATAAAAAGGTTCAGAATATGCGATTCGCTTAATATTATTTTTGGCAAAGCAAAAATATTTTCGAGTCTGCTATTATATTGGAGGGTGTTCGAGTCGTGGGGAATGGAATGTAACGTAATAAATACCGACGTGCAGGTCGGGTCAGGCGGGTGGCATCAGGCAAGTTTATAATCGGACACCGACACCACCCCTGGGACTGGCGCTCGTTTATCACCCACCATAGCTCCAAATGCTCACGGAAATCTGTTTAACATATAAAACAAATTCATCATAATTGTGTAATGGCCCATGCGTGCACGATGACTTACTGGTATTACCTATCTACTTATCTACAATAATCTACACTACATGCATTTTTATCAAATGAAAGCTTTTAACGACCTAGTGACCACGTAAGATTTATTTAATTCAATCTTAATCTAAGTTAACAAGATCATAAGTAAATGCACTACATATTACAAATCAAAAGATTAGAGCGTAATTCACTCATTCACTTACACAATTATTCATGTTTATCTAGAAAATTAAGAGCATAATAATGATTGATTAATTAACCTTCCTTTTTACAAGTTAGCTTTATATTAGATCAGTCACGCTGTCAGCTCATCAATCTTCAGAATTAAAGTAACTTGATTAATTTCGAAAGAAATTTATTTAGCTGTCTCAGAACAGAGTTACTTATTTCCGCCATTTGGCTTTCTTAAATGCTTTGGTCCATTACTTTGTGTAACTTTATTTATATTAGAGATAGAGACTATAGCTTGTATTTATTTTCAGGTAAAATTGGCACGGTAACATAGTTGCTACGCGGTTATGTAAAATGAGATGTTCATCCAAGTGTCATGGCATGTGAAATATAACCTACAAGAAATAGTCTGCGGTTCGAGTCCCGTCACGTTAGGGGAATCGCGCGTGGCGTTACAGACGGAGTAAATTTAAGCAAGCATACAGACGAATAAGGCTGTGCTTTCGTAGTAGCGTAGCTGACACCCATAGGTATAATTTTAACGTAAATTATGAACCTAGCTAGACGATGCGCTTGAAAATATACGTTGCAATTTATGGAGACGAATACAAAAAATAATCTATTAGGTACCGGCTTTCCTCATAACGGTAACCTACTGATATTGATTTTCCACATATCCATCACATAACGTAGGACACCCTCATGCTCGTTAATTGAAAATTACGTTTATTAGAGCTGTCTATAATTATCTTAGGATAGGCTAAAAATATTATACGCTTTACGCTAAGCACGGCCTAAGGGTGCGCGCGGGGTGCCAGGGTGTGCGAAGGGTGCGGGGCGCGCCGACTGCCCTCAGTGTCGCGGAGGCTGCGGCCGATTACGCCGCCCGCCCTGCGCCGCGCTGCCGCCCAGCCAAAACATTACTCAACTAAACACAAATAAATAATCCCCCAATCTCTATCAATTGCTCACTTCTTACAACGTGTCGAAGCCGTTTCTACAGTGATTCGTTACCAAATAAACTTATCGCAATTAAGTAAAGATTAAGATACAATATTTTCGTTTTAGTACCGTGAGATGAACCACGAATTTATCTTTCTTGTGGATAATTATGTAGAGATTTTCTTCCTTACCTATCAGCAAATTTTATCATCGGGTTTGTAAGGAACCTATCTGCGGGGATCCTTACGTAAGTAAACAAGTGGCTTCTTTTCAAAATAATAATATTGTTATTTCTGTAATGTGTTTCACGAGTAACACGTGTCTAATTTTAAATATGAATTGGTAGAGCTTTGTATTATTTTGATCTCGTAATTTTAATGAATTGACGTGATTAGCCTGTTTTGAATGTGATTTTACAGTCATTTATATAAACATACTACCTACCTAATTTATAGAGAGCAGAGCATCTGACAAAATATAGATTTAGTATCAATTTAAATTTTTCTTGTAAAATTTAATGCAAATCGGGCGAATAAAGTTTATCCGAGGTCTGCACTCGTGGTTTGAAGAGGGTCACCACTCGAGGTGAGTGCTCTACAGCTTGTCCAATTATAGATGTTTTCTACGAGAGGTGTCCGCCCCTTACATCATTGGCAATAAGAGGTTTGGGGCACTTTCTTTTGCGGTTACCTTTAATACGAGCACGACCGGCCTTTGATATTGCGTTTTCAACCTCAGGTAGGGGATGCCATAATAAATATAACTTAACTACCTATATAAAAAGATAAAGAGGTATTTGAGGTATGTTACAATCATCATAGCTTTACAAAGAATAAATGTTTGATGAATAGACACCGAATGATGAAAAATTCAAAGAGATAAACATTCAATAAGCAGATAAATTGTAATGAGAAAAAATTGTCTCGTGGCAATTACGGATAAGGTAGTCGGTTTGGTAGATCGGTTGTATAATACAAATTGTGTGAAATCAATATTATGTCTAATTTGTTGGCAGGGTATGACAACTTCCATTTGCTATTGAAACCTTGCCAAACAATCAAAGGCATTTATTAAATAACAAAAACAAGAGTGGAGAGAAAAAGTATGGCGTATAAAAGGAGAAATATGACCGCTATTCCAAGGACAACGCGATACTTGGTAATGGCAACGGCGCTAATACTCTCATTAGTCGGAGCCTGTTTCTGCGAAGTCACTTTAGCCGCCAAGGATGGGATTAAAGCTAGCTCCAGTTCCGAAGCTCCGTTGACTACGGGCTTTATAAGCGAGACAAAGCCGAGTACGAAGCCATTAGAATTCACTGCAGCTCCAACTGAAACTTCAACTACAAACGAAACCACTAAAATAACAAAGGCGTACGTTTCGAGCGAGAGCCCGACCACCGTTTCGCATTCAACGACTAAAGTATACGCGAGCACAAAAGGCGTAGTGAAAAGTGCAAGGAAGCAAAAGTTAAACAGTAGTTCTAGTGCTCTCGGGACTGCGGCGCATTCACCAGCGCGGCTTCAAGAGCGCCTCGGGGCCGTAGATTGCGATCTGCCCGTGCTGCCGCGCGAGTCGCGCCTGTGGCGCGGCAACGAGACGCATGAACTCAATCTGCCGGTCACGGTAAGACATTTCCAAAGTGTTTTAAAATAGTTAGCACAAGATCTTACATACACCTGTAATAAGTTATAATTTATTTGTAAGTCCTTTTAAATAACTATTCAATGTAGAGTTGTGAAAATAGCAGAATAACGAACGAACAATGTTAATTGACTAAATGAATGGCCCAATGTGCGTAATTTGGGGCGTTTAGGCAATTTCCGAGAGCAATTTTACTATAGGCAGGCATTTCGATCATAATAATAAACTTGCTTGCAAAAGTTAGATCATGACAGCACAGCTAGAGCGCCGAGGTCGAATACATAAGCAATAAATCGTCTTAGAAGAGAGAAGGGGAAAAGCTTTCTTGCTCCAGCGGTTGAACTCTGTTCATTATTTCTTTTAAGGAAAACGTCTAGCCCTTATTTATATAGGGCGAATGTGGAGGCTCTAAGATTATGGAGCCATAAGAACTTTCGTTTCTTATTCATTCGCAGTCGGCACGAGTGGGTACTTGTACGAGTATCTTCTACGGTTTAGATGGATTTCAGAGTGCTTATGTATGAGAGGAAAAGTTACAAGAGTCTGGAAGTAAAGAACTGCGTGATTCAGCTTTCCTATCTATTCAGTTATTTATTTTAAACTCTTGCTGAATAATTACCAACTAGCTTTATCAGATAGTAAAGTAAGAAAATAAATTACTTATTTAATACATTAATATTACTTAGATGATTGTTAATATTGCGATAGAAGTCACCTTGAGTTATTAGAAAAGATAATCCTTAGGATACGGCACCTAAAGCTTTAGAAGCTTTATAGGCTAATTAATTCATGAATAAATCTAACTACCAAGTACGATAACAATATTACAAACATTTATAACTTTAAAAAATTGATTGCGAAACAAAGTGGCAGGAACATAAAACAGATAAGCTTTTGACTGACTGAATAATAGCTCGCAATCGGCGAAGCAGCTGTGCTTTTTAATTATTCGCCTGCTTTCCAGTTCAGGTTATTTTTTCTGTTTTGAGTTGTTATTAAGTCGTCGAGTATCTTTAACCAACTTTAAAATTGAGAAAGTTTGAAATAAGCGATCATGAAACAATTGATACCTTTTAGGTACGTTTTATTTTATCTACTCGTACGTGGTACATAATGAAACTGCGGTCTACCTACTTAATATGCAAGCATGATCACACAGTCAATTCTTACTTAAACAGCAAATGAAACACGAGCTATTTCAATTAGTATTCACAGAGGTTGACTTGATAATTAATTAATGCGTGTGTGACTTTGTGTTGTGGATGGCGGAGGACTGCGCGGGAGGGGCGGCGGGGGAGGACGAGTGCCCCCCGGTCATCGTGTCGTGGGAGGGCTCGGCTGATATCCAGATCGGAGACATCCTTATCGTCCGCATCTCCGACTCCTTGCTGCTCGACACCTTCGGTCAGCAGATCGAAAGGAACACCACTTTAGATGTGAACGCTTCGCACAGCGATAGGGAAAGGTTAGTTTTAAAAACTTACTCGTAACCTAGGTAATGTAAATTTTTTCAAATCTTTGAAAAGGTTAAAATCTTGCCTGTTTCTAAATTGAATCTTTGTTTCTGCTTCAAACAACTGGAAAGGGTTTGGCAAAGAACTTGTTTTGAAGAGATATTATTATGTTACAAAATTTTACTACCCAATAAAATAATTTGAAATGAAATTTTTGCACACTTACCAAATAAAGCCTTTTTAATTCAATATCATGGTGATATGCCGTGTGTGTTGGTGCCAGGGCGAGCACGCGACACAGATGAATAAAACATTTCTTGATATACTTACTTTACAGGTATCTGGACGTAGCAAGTCAAGTTTCACTTTGTAATAACTTATTTTTTAAGATTTTGATAAAGAATTCAGCCACTAGACTGAAGTGTGTTAAAATTACTGTTGTGTTACGGGAAACGTTATTACAAAATTTTAATTTGTTTTTATTTTATACATTTCTTTCGACTTCGAAATGGTTTTATAAATAGGTAGGTATTATGATAATCTAAAACTCTGCTGAGATGTCGCATAAGGGTCTTTACTATTATTCTACGGCCAATATAAGCTGGAAAATGTTGAAAATATACGAAAAAGAAAACAAAATGTACCTAGTAATTTTATATAAGTCATTACTTATATCGATATGTTCTATGTACTCGTATGTATAACACCAACAAAATGTAACCCAATTACACTTTCTGGAAGACAGCGCGTTGTTTGTAATACTGAAAGCCTGAAGATTATGGATATTACACGACTTTGTTTAGGAAGCTTTCAGCTTTTACGTACCTACTTTTCTCATGTAAAGATCAAAATGATGCCTATATCATATTCAAATTCTTTGAGAATAAAAGCTCTACCCAGATAACCCAGTAAAGTAGAAAAATTAAGAGTGTCGTTAATAGTTATCTATCTGCTTAATTAAATGATGAATAGTTGACCTAAATCACGTCGGCTATATTGTAGCAAATGGCCCGCGCGGGCGTTTCACGCCGCGGCGCGCGCCGGTGCACTAATCTGCACGTGGGTGTTTTTTGCGTCGTTGCACAGACCCACATAATTGTGGATCCCACATTCAGCTCGTCCGGAAAATTAAACAAGTTAATGCATTTCACGAGCACGTCCCTGCCCTAAATTTTTCCTTCCATAAATGTGGCTAACCGTTTTTTAGTTTGCAGCTATTTACCTAATTATTTGATTGAGGTCATTTAACTTTCATGTGTAAAAGCTGTTTAACGTTAGACTTTAACTCGTACATTTGAAGTAATAGTTGACCAATGAAAATGATAGTAGGTTAGGTTAGTTTAGGTTAACTAGGTACTTACATTCAGATTAGTCAAATATAATATGATCCAGTTTCTTATTTACTGTAATCAACATTCTTCTAGGTACTACTGATTGCCTAAGCCTACATATTGATTTCATTATATTGCAACTTTGACTTGATAAGAAGTTACATTGTTAGCTTAAAATATTCCAAAGATGTGTTTATCTCTCAGGAAGCACTCAGTGCTTCAGCCAGCCGTGTACCAAGTGACGAGGCAGGGCCACGAGCACTGCGACGTGTCGGACGGCATGTTGCTGGACATCACGCCACTAGACGAGGGCGGCGCTAAACTCTTCACGCTCTACGACAAGGATTTGGCTGAAGGCGTCAACTTACTGATCGGTAATATTTGTTTATATCTGTTTTTGATTACTGCCATCACAAATTATGATAAAAAAGGTTTTCGACGTAGCGTAACTTGAAAATATTGTGAGCTGCAATGGAGGAAAGCAGATCTCTAATTTATTGTTAAAAATCATCGTTAACGCTAAAAACAAGACCTCGTTACGAACCAAACTGATCATAACGAAGCGATTATAACACTAAATAAATCTTTTTGTTTGTGCGGACGCTTCAGTAACCCAGTCACGTACAGCGAAGTTCATTAATTAATAAAGTAAAAGACACAAAGAAGGCTTCATAAAGACTTTTATTTTAGCCGTTGCGTTTAAATGACGGTTGGAGGATATTAAGTACAAAAGCTTGGAGGATGTAATACGCGAGATATGATGTGAAAAGGTCCGACCTTAGATAAAAATATGGAGGAAAATCGACAGCACTTTTATTGCTGACTCAAACAATAGCCGCGCTTTCGGGGACAAATCCTATTCTGATCTTCTTCATATTATTTCCTCTACACTTTCTGTGTTATCTGTTAACGCGCCAGTTTAATATATTAAGTTCTTTATCGATCATTATAAACTATCACAAAAACTTCTCGACTAAAAGAATGTTTGTTTACAGTCGTCTCCGAGAACTGGGGCTCGAAGTGTGTTCGATTAAAAGTAACTGTCAAGTCGGACAACTGCGGAGACTCGCAGGATTGTTCCGGGAAAGGCGTGTGCTACACCAACGTGTCGATGGTACGTTGATAGATGGCTGGTAGTTAAGCGATTAGTGGCAGCAGAAAGCCGGTGAACGTAATTGATGTGTGTTTGTAGGAAGGCTACGAGTGTCAGTGCTGTCCCGGGTCCGCCGGGCCGCACTGCGAGGAGCGGGACGCGTGCCATCCATCACCCTGCCTGAATAACGGCGTTTGTGTCGAACTGTCACAGCCTCTCGACGGTGTCTACTATACCTGCACCTGTCCATATGGTATTTATTCTCAACAAGAACATAATAATTCAGTCGTTCAGATTTAAAAACTTGTTTAAACTACCCGAAGACGTACCTGAACTTTTACTTAGCACTTAGTTGGCACTTCCTTGAAAATATTTTGTCTGCAGTGCCCACTTTCTGTACGTGCGCTGAAAATAGCAGACACTCACGGCCCTTACGTAATGGTTCGGAATTTTCTATACATTTCAATTCACGTTTCGTACGCTCAGGAAAGCAATTTTGATTTTCCAATCAATTAAACATTTGTGTGGGGTGGTCTGATGTTACGCAATACCTATGGTTTTATTTTATTCGATTGTGCCCGAGCCCCGACAATATTCATTTATCGCACGGTCAATTTATAGTTGAGTAGGTTGTACCCAAGTAGGTAATTTGGTTAATGTTGTTTTGAATAAAAAATGTGTGAAATATGTACAGAAACAATATCATAATTTATCAAGCTTTATGAAGTTGCAGTACTTATTTTATAGTACCTTACTTCTGAATTACTTAAGTCTCATAGTCAATGTTTTATGTAGGTTTTTCTGGCAAGAGATGCGAAAAAGATCCTTGCTCGACAGCACCCTGTTTGAACGGGGGATCTTGTATGACCATGGCCATGAACGGGACTACGATCTTCCACTGTGCCTGTGTCGACGGCTGGGCTGGTTCACGCTGCGAGCTGTCTGTAGCTGGCGGCGCTTGCGCTTCTAACCCCTGCGTCAAAGGGATCTGCATAGAGCAAACAGATAATGACATCGAGCCACAGCCCTATCGCTGCTTCTGTCAACCTGGTAAGTAAACATTTTCAGACAGGAAGTGCATAGTGTTATTTCTTTTCTACAAAGTTAAAAGAAACAAACGGAGAATGGTTAAATCAGTTCTTTCTTGCTATTTGTCATTGTACGTGTACCTCTACATGGGCTTACACGGTAAACTCGAAAGTCAACCGATAATACCTATATTTAACATCAATTGGATTGAATTGACTTTGTTGTAATGAAAGTGACTTTTAGGAATATTGATGATTTTATTTTTATTAACCAACGTTATAAGACCGAATTTTACATAACTTTTCATATACTTTTTCTTTATACAATAAATTAAGTAAGAAGGAAAACTAAAAAAAGATTCTAACATATTGGTATCTAAACGTCGGCAAAAACCTCATCGTCTTTACTAATATTATTCTACAATCGATTATTATTATTTATTTTGGTGTTAATTCTCACCGTTCACGCTTTGAGTTAACAGTATGTACTTATATTCTTTTATTTAAATTCATACTCCGAAAATTATGGCCACATAAATTTTTCTCCTTCCTTTTGACGTTATTATCATAACCGTATAATTTTACTGTTTTCATAGCGCTCTGAGACATTTACCTAACCTCGCGCCCTCATTATACACCCTTGGTCATTTATGCTTCCCTGTCACCCTCAATGCACACTCATGCCATTAAGTTTCACACCTCCATTACTCTATTTTAACCCGCAAACACTAAAGTCCATTAATGGCTTCAAATAAACCTTACAAACACGGAATAACTATGTGCTCACCTCAAAATAGGATAGGAAAACATTTTCCGCGGAATTGCCGAGAAAACTTTCCCAGATGTACGACAAATTCCAAGTGTAATTATGTCGAAGTCATAACTGGAGTTGCGTAAAATAACTTAGCCGCCTCAGTTCGCGTAGTTGACGGTTAGTTGTTGTTAAATGTTGCTACTTACTTGTGTTTGTTTAACCGCGGCATTTAGATATGGTGCCAAATTACCTCAGTTTGGAAATCAATATACTTATAATCATTATATTCATATTCATTCATTATATTGAAATCAATATCAATATAATGAATTAAACGAGTAAAGAATATTTTAGGAGAAAATACTATAATACTTTGTTTGTATCGCGCTGTAAAACTTTTATTCAGAAATTATTTACAAAATTCTGGGAGTATTTCGTGAAGCTACATTTAACCTTAATAGGCTAATTTGCTCTACTCGGCTGTCCCTTTACATTTGAATACGTTCATAATCCTCCGCTATAATAAGGAATACCCGTTTAATGTAGGTAAAGTAGGTTTTATTCATAATATTCTCAAAAATAAAAGGTCTATTTTTTACTATTATATTTTTGATGTCCAAACAACAACGTTTGCTAGCAGCTTTTTGCACGTTTGCTTTCTTGAACATAAATGTAACTATTCCTATTTTTTTAGACCTACTTTAAGATACTAGCTACAGTATCTTTCGTAATTTTAGGTCATCTTTTCATAAGTAGGCATACAAAAAATGCCATACATAGGCCTTATACCTATGTTTTTACACTGCAAACTGTTTACCATTTTAAGCACCAGCATGAATGATGTCAGGCGTTTGAAACATTTTTAAGTTTGTGAAGCGTGTACCTATTAGCTTTAGGTATACTTATATTTTCTGTTTTGTCTTTAGATGCCCTACTATTGCTAACTATGTCACCATATTTATGTGCCCCTGACAAGAATGTTGTGTTACGCAGAGGTATTTATTTACAAAGCATTCTAGCTCGCATTACTCTGTGCATGAATTTCCTTAAACACTAGAAATCTCTTGTAAAATCATGATCAAAACTGTGTGTTTAAAATATTGTCGTTACAAAATAAAATCACATCTTTAGAAACCTAAAAAAAAATACAACGGTTCAAAGCGAATTACCCGTATAAATGTTCGAGTGGTATAGTACTTAGTTACAATAATAAATGGTTTTGAACTTAGTCAATTTAATAATGTTTAATCTTGTTTGCGAATGTTGGGCGAGCGAATTGTGTGGGTGATTTATTTGGAGCGGAGTTGGAAGGTTGCCCGCAGCCCGCGCCCGCAGCCTAGCGCGCCGGCCGTCCGAGCCCGCTGGCCTTGCCCATCTTTGCGTCTACTATACTATACAATAACGGGACCTATTACGACATTTAATAAAACTACTTTATTTAGCACCAACTCTTAAGCGTTTAACTGATGAAAAACTAAGCTTCTAAATAGAAAATATTATTATTTTCTTTGAGCGAGCTGCGTGGCGCCCAACGTGTTATTAAATTAAATTTTATCACGCACCATGTCTCCTATGAGTGATGTAACAAGCCTCAACAAACAAGTTTTAGGAAATATTTGTCAGTTTTTACACGTAACTTTACACATAACTGTCTGTAACATATTGTGGCCTACACAATATTGCCTAGGCAAAAACTAAAACTAAATGCCGGGTGAAAGAGAGCTAAACTTAAATGTACTACGGGTTCATTATTCCGAATGATTTTAGATTTTGGTGGATAAAGTGTTTTACTAGATTTTAAAACTACATGGAATCATATGAAAAGTTTGCTTTTATAGTAAAACTAATAGGTAGGTATATTTGTATTATTCCATATTTTCACATTGACTGGCACTTTCATATTTATACTTGAACGGTTTCTTTAATATGATCCTCTGCCGAAATTCCTATTTCTTCTTATTTTGTCAATATTTATTTTGGTAACATTGTGATATGTGTGGGTAGCCAATTCCACTGAGAATCGTCCCTATTCTGAATAGAAATGAAACGTGTTATAAATAGTCAGCATCGAAAACCTGTCCTTATTCTAGATTTATAAAATTAATCAATAATTATTCTTAGGTGTATGATTCAAGGTAGAAAATGTTTCTAGATAATATAATAGACAATAGGCTCTCAGAAACACGTCAATGTTATTGTTTGATAAAGATTAGGTACCAAATTGTCGAGTAGGTAAGTAGGTAATTAATCTTAAACTAATGATCAGTGTTTTGTTGTGTCACAGCCGAGTTAAGTTGGGGAGCTTTTACCACAATACAGCAACTTTAATTACGTAATTAGGTACAATTTTCCAAGATTTTCTTTTTTACGAAATTAATGATGATGAACATCTCTGAATTTAGTCATCTTGTCGTGATATAAGAACGAGTATCTGGTGGCGTCATGATCCCTCCCGCCGTAATGGGCGCAGACCTGGCGTAAATGGTCCCAAGCAACATGAGAAAGGTTTTTTGGCGTGCCCCCGTAAATAAATCGGGGCGAATTAATCAAGAGGCTTGTTTTCCCGACAGCGGAGGAAATTCGGGATGAATGCAAACAAACGTTCCCCAGGGACGGATTGTCTTTCGACGAAAGGAATCTGAAACTTCTGTACTATACACTAGTAAGTATATAGCTTCATATGAGCTCCGTTGTCATGTGCTGAGTTTACTTAACATCTAAATGTTACCCTTTGTGTTGCTAAAGTAAATCAATACTCTTTTTGTAGAGACGGAAAATAAAATAAAGTGCTTTTGAGGAAGTGGTTCTGTAGATGTTACGAAATAAAATATTTGGGAAATACGAGCAACAATATTCGCACAATAGTACATTGCTTGCTGGGTCATTCTTTTAATATATCCTTACGAAGTGATATCAAAAACTTGAATTTATTATTGCCTGCATTGGTTCATCCTCATACTGTGGAAACTAAATGAACTGAAGATAATGACTATGATAAAGGACTAAGTAAATTACTCAAGTATTTTTAAAGATTCATATACGAGGTTTTTTAAGTTAACTAGGTACCTGTCATTTGGCTGAAACGAACGCACGAACGAACGAACAAACCTGTATAATTAACAGCTAATTGTATCTTAGTTTAAAAATAGAGCACTCAAGCTTTTTCCCTATAGTTAGTTTGAGATAGTTTCTTAATAAGTTAGAGCTGAAAGCTTCTCGAACGGGAAACTTGCCAAGTTAAAAACTGGGAAACTTCTATTTAACTCCGATACATGTTCGCGTGAACAAGATTGAAGATTTTGTGGCGAGAAAAAACACAAAATGAGTTTAAGTTTGTAAAGAGATCCTATCGGTACCTCATATACGAGTAAATAGTTTGATAAAGCTGTAACTAATCTTCATGTTTTTGTATAATAACAAGGTTTACTCGCTGGAAGGTTACAATCCTGTTAGAATGAACTCGAGTAAGTGGATTTCTAAGTTTTTATAGCTTTCAAGAGTTTATAAGATAAAATCAATACTTTATAAACATTTCTACCTCCCATTCGTTTTCGTTACCTTAAAATATTTTATAGCGGCAAGTATACAAGTTTTAAAAGCATTTTGGCTGTATTTTATTAGGGTTAAATTGGGTAACAAATCAAAATTTACGGAGATGATTCAGTATCTACATAAGTTTTTATGTTGAGTTAGGAATCAATCAAGTATGGCTTTTTAACTTATTTCTAAAGTAAGTGGTTTTGAGGCAAATACTCGTACTGAACTCTATTTTATTCCAAAAGTCGTTCAGCGACACGATAAGAACATTTACAGGAAAAACGAAAATACATTTTCATTTTCCAAAGGAACTTCATGTTTTTATAAAGTTTAGGCTGCCAGCATAGAGCCAATCTCATGTTATCTTGAGGTTTCATGCTGCACTTAGTGATCTCCAAGGAGTTGGAGTTATTACAATATTCAGGGTACTCTGCCGAGCAGCAGCAGGGATGAAACCGTAATTTGTGTGAGATCGGGCGCACGTGACAGGTTTTGCGAGGTCTTATGTTATGAACTCGCTTTTGCTTATACAATTCGATCCGATAAAATTATTCACTACTAGCTGACCCGGCANGGAATTGTTTACATTTCCTAGGAATAGTATACAATTCCTAGAATTCATACATTTCCTGTAACATATATATAGATTAAACATTAGAAGATAGCATTGAATTTAACTCGATTTAATTAATAGAATTGCAAATAAAGATTACGAAGGAGCATAAAGCTCGGAGCTGCTTGACGAAGATAGTGCCTTTAGTTAAGCTCTAAGCTTAAATTATCACTATACCTCGGAAAGACACGTCAGAATCCACGTTGGCTTAGTTGATGGTAATACTGAGGGATCTTTGTGTAACTTAATATTGATTAATTTGTTAAAAAACACACACGGTGTTCGACTTCCTTAGCCTTAATTACAAAGTCACTAACCTTAATCTGTCTCTTCTGATTAATTTCGTTGCGGGTTCAATGACAGTTAAACCCCCGGGACAAACTTGACCTTCATTGGTTGGGTTTTTATTGACTACACAGGAGTTACAGCGGTCACGCAGCCTAAATCTGTGTACATCTGTAGGGTTATATAATGTACCTTTCTATCGAAATTATTTGGTTTCCAGGCTACACTGGAGAGCGCTGCGAGCTAGAGTACAACGAGTGCGAGTCGTCGCCGTGCGCGAACGGAGGCACGTGCAACGACCGCGTAGCCGGCTTCGCGTGCACGTGCGGTCGTGGGTACACTGGACACCTCTGCCAGCTAAAGGTTTATATCTAACATTTCAGCATCATTTAGGCAATCGTATTCATACGAAGCTCTCTTACAGTCTACTGGCTAGACCACTAAAGCGGGGGACAGTTTCATTAGAAAAAAAATTGGAAAAAAATACTTCACAAAATTCTGTCCATATTGCTAGTCCTAGACGGACTAATATTATTGTTAGTTGAGTCTAGTACTGTTACAAGTCTTTTAAAACTGATTTCATGTAGCCTCGAGCTTTACGAAATAGTGCAACTTTATATCCTTGTTTTACCTATTTTTACATGATATCAATCAACTTTGTCTTTATCTTTAGTTTTGTGATTGTATTGGTAGTCATAGATTCGCCAACTTTGCCCTTGCGAACAACAATCACCGTTCAAAGTTCAACGCGATATCGATTGACAAGCATTGCATCATGTCCTTGGTTCTGAATGTTTAATGATTGTACCTACAGGTGGACCTGTGCGCTCCCAACCCGTGCCCGCCGCGCCGCTACTGCATGGACCGCGGCAACAACTATGTCTGCGAGTGTCCCCGCGGCTTTGTGGGCGACGAGTGCCATATACCTACTCGATCTGTAAGTCTGCTCGTGACAACTAGCCATTTGACTCCACTCATAGAGTACGAACCAACCAACAACCAACTTACAATCACCTCGGAAATGTTTTCATTTCGTAGTCTGCATTCAGTAAAAGCTCATTCATTGCTCTCGGAGCAATAATGTTAAATAAAGAATTTTAAGATTTAAAACAACACGAATAAAAAAATAGCTCCCTCTTAAGTAGGTACCTAATGTATTTACCTTTTTTAATGTGTACTTGAACTTCTACAATAATTAATCTACCTCTCCACCAAAGATTCATTGCTACGAGACTACGATAGTAACTATTTACTAAGCAGTTTTTTCCTTTGGTGTGCCGATTCAATTTACCTATACTAATTTGAAAAATAAATCTTGAAACTTAACTTTTTCCCGAATTTTAAATAGTAAAACGAAATAAATGTGACTTACAGGCTTGCGACAACAACCCTTGCGCTCACGGCGGCACGTGCTGGAGCGGCGTCGACTCCTTTTACTGCTCCTGCCGCCCAGGTTACACCGGCAAGCTCTGTGAAGGTAACATATAACATACTTTACAGCTTGTTAATAAAATATTTTTGTTTTCCTTAAGATATAGAAGAATTTTGCATGAGTAGGATAATGAAATTCATGCGAGAAATCATTAACGTGGTGGGACTATTGCAATCGGGCTTACCTGGACCTCCGAAGATGTTTATCAGCCTCATATATAAACAGTTCTAGGCTCTCGTATTATTACTACAGGGACGGTAGAAGTTCCTGCAGTAATGACCACTCCAAACAACACCACATCTCACGAAATTAAAGTCCAATTTAAGAAGGTGCTGTAACACTATTTCAGTTGAATCACCATAACATACCGATAAAAACCGCGCTTTTGCGATTCGTAACGCAAGCGACACGAGTTCAACTTTACAACTGACAGTGTTGCCATTTTCGACAAATGTTGCTCTCCGAAATTAACAGTCAATTGTAACACTGCATTATTTCCGAATTTACGAGAATAATGAACATTCCATAATCGGAGTTAAAAAAAAAAAATTTAGACATGTTATTCATGAAACTAAAAAATATAATACTTTATGCCTTTCATTTTGGTCACGTACGTACCTTCAATGTTTATTTTACCTTTAACAGAAAAGAAAAATTAGTCTGTATCTCACCTCCTCCGTGTTAATCAGATGAAGGTGGATGCTCCATCCGGAGTCCATAACCATAGAGAATTTGGCTATGTTACTTCCAACTACTGAAAGACAATAATGCTGAACGCGACTATGCAGCAATGCAATTAAATTTAGCAGCAGCATGGTCTATGGGCCCTTATTTATTCAGGTATGAGATACAGATCGGAATTAGCAGTTGCTTATCTTGTACTTCAGAGGACTTCATCCTGGAGTCGGTGGTGAGCGACGAGAGCGGCATGAGCGAATCCCGCGGCGGGGGCTCAGTGCGCGAGGTGCGCCTGCCACTCGGCCTGTACCACGACCGCCTGCATAACGTCTACATCGCTGCCGGCACGCTGGGAGCGGCCATAGCTATCGTCGGCGTGGTGGTAAGTAAAAAATAATTGTAGTAGTTAAAAGACAAACTTCATGATATGAATTACAAGGGCAACTCCGTTTAGTAGTAGTATTAGTAGATTTCAAGTACCCATTATGGGCAAATGTTAAGTAGGTATGCATTTATACATACATACCCAAAGTTTATCATAGTGAGTCAGTGGGTTGGAATCGAGCTTTATATGTATATTATATTCATGTGTAAAAAGGTACGCGCTAGTTACTTTTTTTACGCTGCTCCAACGAAATTATTTTTAATTTTTCATCAATAATATAGCAACAAGTAACAGTAATTTCTGACACATACAATTAAACTCAACTCAAATTCACCTTGTAAGACCCACAGACTGAAAAAGAAGATTAAAACTGAGTAATTAGCAAAACAACAATATGCCAATAGATCATATGACTACGCCGTAGCATCGTAGCATAGCGTTTGCTACACAAGTCTGCTACGACTGCATAACGTAACAATGCACTATTCTTCTATCTAAAAGCTTATTAATAAAAAAATATGACTGGCTTAGTACCTGATGGCATCTATGAATATAAATCATTGTAACAATGGGACTACGTCGTAGTATCGTAGCATAGTAAATGTATTTTAGTCAATTTCGCTACACAAAAATATTAAAGTACCTTTACACTTTGTTCAATAATAACTATACCTAACATATACAACGTGTCCCAAAATTCAAGGATAAGCCGGCGCCGCAGGATGGACATAGTCATGACTACTTTAGGAAAAATAAGAAAAAAAATCTATCTCAATTTTTTTTTAAGTTACACAATAAATTATGAAATTCGTCGAAAATTGACACCCCTTATGATATTTTACATTACCACGACCACAATTTTTCAAATACTTCTGTTTTTTTGTTTGTATCAACAACTTAAGTAGTGCTGCTGTCCTATCCAATTCCTAAAACCCTCAGAATCCTTGCAGTTTTTACACAACAATTAATCAAAATATGATATTTCCTTAAAATTTTGAACGATTTTTACTTTCACTCCACTTTGACTCGTCGTTTTGTAATAAAACAATATGAACACTACTGCGGCAAGTTTTTTATAAAGTTGCCGCAACTATCCAAGATTTTAAAATGGTATAATACTTTAAGAAAACTAGTCGCAAAAAAGATATGCGTAACATTTTTACAAGCACTTCGCTTGTTAGTTAGTATGGGATAAATCTTGCAATTAAATTTAAAACCAGTTCTCCTTAACCAATTGAGCTGAAATTTGGTATACTTATGTAAGTACGATGACATTGCAACATTATGGTATCATTGAGCTGGATGGAGTCTGGAGGTGGCCATAGGAACTTCTAAACGAAACGGCGGAATCGCATCTAGTTTGGGTTCGTTGGATATCTTTTCGAGCACTTTAGTGCTAGATAATGTCCAGGGTCCTGATGATGAAGTCAAGAGGTGGCCAGGAGCTGGCCAAAGGAACTCCTAATCGAAATGGCGGAAGATTATCGAGTTTGGGTTCGTTGGATTTGACTTCCCGAGCACTTGGACCATGAGATTGAGAAACAACTAAAAAGTGTAAAATAAAGTAATAATAAAAAAAAACTTTTTTAAAAACAAGCATTAATGCGAGATTTTACGAAAGAATTTAACGATAAAATAATTGTATGCAAGGTTCAAATAATTTCGAAAGTTTGTAGCGCAAACAGAAAAAAAGAGGAATAAATCCCATGCGCGATTATAACTTTTTAGTTGTTTCTCAATCTTATGGCCCAAGTGCCCGAGAAGACAAATCCAACGAACCCAAACTCGATAAGCTTCCACTATTTCGTTTAGGAGTTCCTATGGCCAGCTCCTGGCCACCTCTTGACTTCATCATTAGGATCCTGGACATCATCTAGCACTAAAGTGCTTGAAAAGACAAATCTAACGAACCTAAACTAGATGCAATTCCGCCGTTTCATTTAGAAGTTCCTATGGCCACCTCCAGACTCCATCCAGCTCAATGATACCATAATATTGCATTGTCATCGTACTTACATAAGTATACCAAATTTCAGCTCAATTGGTTGAGGAGAACTGGTTTTAAATTTAGTTGCAAGATTTATCCCATACTACTAACAAGCGAAGTGCTTGTAAAAATGGTACCTACGCATATCTTTTTTGCGACTAGTTTTCTTAGAGTATTATACTATTTTGGAATCTTGGATAGTTGCGTCAACTTTATAATAAACTTGCCGTAGCAGTGTTCATACTGTTTTTTTACAAAACGACGAGTCAAAGTGGGGTGAAAGTAAAAATCGTTTAAAATTTTAAGGAAATATCATATTTTGATTAACTTTTGTGTAAAAACTGCAAGGATTCTGGGGGTTTTAAGAATTGGAGTGGAAAGCAGCACTACTTAAGTTGCCAATACAAACAAAAAAACAGAAGTATTTGAAAAATTGTAGTTGTGGTAATGTAAAATATCATAAGGGGTGTCAATTTTCGACGAATTTCATAATTTATTGTGTAACTTAAAAAAAAATTGAGATAGATTTTTTTTCTTATTTTTCCTAAAGTAGTCATGACTATGTCCATCCTGCGGAGCCGGCTTATCCTTGAATTTTGGGACACGTTGTATGAACATTCTCTTTCTTACCTTTTCAGGTCACAGCATGTCACTGTCGCGTGAACAAAACATACTCTCGACTGCTGTCCCGGCTGTCCCGAGTGACCGAGTCGGGGCCACCGCACCACTGGCTGCAGGACAAGCGCGCGCCTCCCCTCTCCGCACCCTTCCCTCCCCCCTCCGCCGCCCTCGACACCACCGACATGTATTACACCCTCGACTTCAGCGACAGCCAGAGCTCCCCGCTCATACAATAGCAATCACTTCAGAACTGCTCCGACGGGGAACGGTTCAGAATTCAAATCTAAACGCCATTATTGGGCTGCCAAATACCTATTAACTTCTTGATCCTAATCTCAAATGTGTCCCAACAAAATTTCTTCTCTAAAATATCCGAGAAACAAATGAAGAAACAGTTTTCTCCAGGAATGTTGGGTAATAATTAAAATTATGGTGTGATTACTTTGTTTGAAATCTATCATCACTTGTTGGGTTGCTCATAAAATTGCGGCTAGTTTAGTAATTTATCAAAAGATATTAACTGATTAATTACCATTATTTAGAAATAAACATTCAGTAATAAAGTATCAGCTGACTCACCACTACAAAGTATGATTCAGCGCAGCTTGCACGTATGGTAAATAAAATTGTCGTTTGACTGGATAATTAATGATATGACTCATATAATTAATCTTGGATTATACCTAATCAAGAACAAACAAATATTAAATTCAATAAACATTTTAAATAGTAGAATTCTTCCATTCCCAGAGCATACTCGTAGATAAAAAACAACAGCTTTTAAATTTAACTATGGACGTTACGTAGAGCTAGACGGATAAAAGAGATACGATAAGCTATTACTTAGTAAGATGTTAAGTTTGTTTGTATTTGGTGTACATTGTCAACGTACGCCCTTCTCTGAAAACTATTTCGATGTATTCAGCTCTTCCTCTTTACTGGCTCTCGCATTTCGCATCAGGCCCGTATTTTGAAAGACAAATTCGATTCAAACGTCAGTGTGCTTACCATGAGTTTACATTAGGTGTGCTCGCTAGCGACTGCGTAAAAAAATGACATTATAATGTATGACATATTGTGCAGCGCCCCTAGTGGCTACTTTCAAGAAATAAAATCTTCATAGAATTTTTTGACGTATTCGCTAGCGAGCACACCTAACGTAAACTCATGGTAAGCACACAGGTTACTCTAAGATCTACGGTGATTGGTTGTTTTTTAGTACTTTGACGATAGTTTAGTCTATGCTTCAATTTGAATCTAATTTTTAGTTACTTACGTAGCGTGCCTACGTTTCATAATACGAGCCTTAGAGTCGAACAGAGTAGATATATCGAAATTTGGGCATCCAGGTTACAAGCTGATGTTATACCTCGGAACTAAATATTATTCACAGTAGTGTTAATGAGATTTTGGTGACTCTTAGATGTTAGCATTTATTTTTTGTTGGGTTTTTGAATAATTATGTAAAATTGTTAGTGATTTATTAAATGTAGATGTCGGGTTAACCTTTGAATGCCAAATATTAGCTTAGAGACTACATTTTATTCATGATCTTGTTGTTGTGTTAAGTTCGAAATATTAGAAGCCTCCGTGTAATAGTCACAATTTATTAAACTAATAGACACCGATAGAAACAAGTAAACTACATAGCGAAAGTAATCAAGTTAAAGGTCTTAGTGTTATTAACTTTTACGTTAAGATTAATTTCGACACTAAGTGCCTGTTGATAAAAACTGGGAAATCAAATGGTTTTGTACGACTGTTGACGATTTCAGCCATCAGTAGATAGAATTACCTAATTCTAAATAAATCTATTATTTTAATCAAACTTCAAAGTACCTATGACTAAATTTTAAGTTCTTAGACATTTTCCGAACTATCTTATTGTTTTAATGTGCCTCTGTCTCAAATGCTTTCTTGTGGTTAAATGAGTGTAGGTACTATCTCAAATCTTATCTCCATTAGATATTGGACGATTGAAAATTAATGAGCTATTTTTCTTATGAAACTTAACTATCTTGATCTTAATGCTTTCGCTAACTAATAAATAAAGCTTCTGAGTGTGTAAATATGTGAACATTGTTATCATAAGGTTTCATTAAAACTAATAATGAGAGTTATTGATGGTTTTTTTCATTAACGTTTACTGAAAAGATATTAGAGTTCCGTTATTTCTTTCAGGAAGTTAGGCTGGTATTAACCGAGGAATCAAATCACGATAGTGGTAAAAACAAAGATGGAACTTTGTAGGTAGGTATACTACTTTAGATTACGTGTACCAAAAAATATTTAATATTTTGTATTACTAACAACACAATGGAATCTAAAAATCGTGTGATATAAATGTTTATGTAAATGAAGTTTTTTTCGTCAGGTTGGGTAAAGGAAATAATAATGAATTACTAATGAAACAAAAAAAACTAAATTGACGTTTTGAAGAAAAACATTTTTATTTAGATTATAAACTTTGATAAAAATAATTATATTAATAATATTTTATGACAACTTACAAATATTCATATAAAAGAATAACGTAACATCTATTCAATTTAAAATTAGTACTGATGATTCTAAAAACGTAAAGTGCTACCACTTTCTGCATGTGTTAACTAGTGTGACTAATGCCGCGGCCGGCGCCCGCGCACCGCCGCCCTATCCCGCCAGTCCCGTAGCGTAACTTTCAAAACTATTAGCAAATTATGTATTTGCTTTGTTCGTATCAAGACTATGAATTTTAAATGTAGATTTGCTCAATGTCAAACATTTATTGGTAAGGCGACATACAAAAAATTAATTCGTGCCACCATTAACATTTTATCTGTAGTAAAATTATAATTCATTTCGAAATGATCAAATTAAACAATTAAAAACCTCCAGTTTTGTTTAAAATTAAAATAGATTACAATTTAAATGGCAATAAAATTAATCTATAGAAATGTCGTATGATTATAAAATGAAATCTGTTCCTTAATAGTGTGTTTTCGATTCTTGAATAATACACTGTAGTTACGCTAAGGCATCTTAGACACATCAAAACATAATCTCAATTATAAATTCTTTAACATTGCACTAGACGAGCGGGCCGAGCACGCGTAACCGCGGCCATTATCTAGCTACTAACTGCTTCACTTTTATTGCTACTGACATTTGTGACTTATGACGAGATTCAGAATCACGATCTAACATCATTTTAAGTAAAAATTAAAGCTGCAAAATTTATAATATAAGTATTAAAATACGTAAGTACATAAATAAATATCGTTGTGATAAGAGTTACGGTTCGCACTGCACACACGTGTGAACTTTGAGCAAATACGTAATTTTCTTAGTTTATAAAATACAATATGTGAATTACTTATAAATAGTGGCGAGACATTAACGAGTGTAAGCCAAATGGAAGAAATATTAGACTGTCTCTATCCGGAACAGTCACAATTTGCAGCTTAGTTATAAGAACGAAACAAAAAACAATACATTTCCAAAAAATATATGTAATATATCAATAACATTACCTTAATTAAAATTCGATGTCTACCTGCAAGTCATGGGACACAGTAAAACAAACTACAGTTACAACTACGTCTAAAATCAATAAGTAATCTAAATTATGTCATAATATGGCAGTTAATCGAACCGTCCGCACTAGGCACATCTTACCGTAGCATTACATTATATGGGCGACTTCACATCTACGACTACATTCCAAGTGACAGAAACTTGTTCAGAATTTAGATGATAGGTAAATCGGTGGAGAGTAAGCTTACCATTCCGCGTTGCATATAATTGCACAGGAAAACGTAACCAATCAAAACAGAAACTATAACTATCTCAAATGTAACAAAATGTATAGGTAAGAAACAGGTAGAATAATCAGCAGAAAAACATATTAAGTAACTTAGTTCGTGGAGGTTTTCCGAACTTTTCCAGAGAATTGGTAATAATTACGACTCAGTAACAACGGTGTAATGAATAGTAATTTCTTACAATTTTATGCAACATCAGGTTGTTTTACTTGAAAATGGAATACGAATATCATAAAAATGTACTTTTAAAATGAAACCTTAAAATATAAATAAGTCTTGGACACAAATACTTTCATAAAATAAATCGTTGTCATGGCCCGATAACTAACGTATCGAAATTTAATTATAATAACAAAATGTATAATCTATTAAATCTTAAAATTAGGTATACACAAACCACTCCCATCGATGATAATGTTAATGTTGTTCCAATGGACGACTTTTGTGACTACGTTTAAATGACTATTATTTATCATACATTATGCAAAATTGCGACTCTGTCTCATTTGAAATTGTAATTTTTCGTCCGTTGCTTCCATTTGGTGGTTCTAAAACGTAATTTATGTATTGTCAATACCGGGTTTGAAGGTGATTCAGGGCAAAGTTCGGAGGAACAACACGAGGCGCGGAGACAGCCGGAAGCAATGGACGCCGTAACCTACATCTACGTGAATGAATTGAGCGAGCTTAGACCAAACTTACGTATATAAAACTTAACAAAGTGGATGGCATGTAAATTGACTTAACTCACTTAAAATAGATATAACATTATAATGATGAAGGCACTTTATGATTTAGCTTGTAGACATAATACATCTACAGAATAAGTTTTGTGACAAGAATTTCTTACTTTATCATCATGGCAAGATTAAAAGGTACCTGTTGAAACGATAACTACATACAACTAGTATGATAACCGAGTGAATGGCACACGCGTTTATATTCAGCAACATTATTCATTTACATAAGACACAAGCGGTACTCTCGTTACCGAACATGGAATAACATTGCCATCATAATACAGGTCGTTGCATCACCTACACTCTGTAATTTCATAAGGCACTTAATTAGATATATACAACAATGATCTTTAACGTCGTTTATCTAGCGACCAACGAATTTGTGACGTACTTATAGTTTCATCCAAACAATGTTATATGATGAATCGCTTAAAAGTAATTTCAATCTGAGATCGACATAATAATAAGAGACGATATTTTATCTCGTTTATAAATTAATATACATATATTTTAATGAGTGTATAAAGGGAATGTTTAAACGACTGTCCAAAAGTGTTAAATAAAACGCCACATGTCGATAGTCTAACACAAAGTAGGAGCGCAGCGAGTAACACAGAACACCTAGAAAGCAGCAGCTTGTTTTAGAACACGCCGAGTAGGTGGCACTCACGAGGGTGTACACGCATAGAAGATGAGTTTCTGAGCGCCACTCGAAAATCTTTTTGCCCTTGATTTCGTGCGACAGAGACTCGTACAGGACAGGCTCTGGTGATGCCTGGAGCGGCTGTACGGTCCCTAAGCGCGGTGTGGTGTGCTCTCGTGGCGTGCGCCTGCGCAGCGCTAGTGGTCCACCGACAGCTCCACGAACGTGATGTCGTAGAGCGGTTCGTCCTCGTTTACGCCCGCCGGTCGCACCTCAAGTAGGAAAAGATCCTCGTTGCAGTAGTACGCCAACATTTCATCATCAATTTTGGCCGTAATCCTGTAAGCAAGTGCGAGCGTTAGTGACAAGTCAATCGATTAAAAGAAAACGTGCAAATTAATTATTACAACGTTTCCTAATTATGCAAAGAGGGCTATCCAGTGTAAAGATTTAAATTAACCTTATTCATTCTTTAATTAGCTAATAAATATCTCCAGGTGTAGATTAATGTTGCTATAAAGTGCACAATCTATTAATATAGTGCGAGTGCCAGGTCAATATGCAAATTAAGTTTGTGGGTATTGATTAAGTGTCAGGTTTAGGAGGGGTGATTATATGATACCTATAGCATAGTTAAGTCATTAACTGAATCGTCTCGGGGACGGGGTCTAGTTGTAAACACAAAGCGTTGCGTAGTTAGTGGGCGCCCTCCGGACAAGCTGAGCTCCAAAAACGCGGCCGGCGCGGCGTCTACACTAACAACTGTTTGAGGCCAATGAAAACCACTTACCCTTTCTTGTTCTTTCGATAAAGATTATTAATTGCCGAACTTGAAATTTTGTACTTATTCTCAATCTGAAAATAAGCAGAAAATAATAAAAATTACAATGGGCCTTTACTAATTGAACGAGACGTCTCGCCTGTCGGAACGTAACCGGTGTAGTGGTTTCGCAAGGACAAAATTTGTATCGCGCGAATTGTTCGTAGATTCGGTGCAGCGGGGCGGCCGCGGTGTTAATTACAACATGCAGTTATGATGATCGTGGGGATTAGACGGGGTTATGAAGCGCCACGCATCGGTTACAATCGGACGAAGCGTCTCGATTCCTTTTCCTGTATTAAGCCCAGTACACATTAGCGTAACCGCAGCACACTTATTTAATAATTACTAAAGATTGTTTTTTTTTCTTTATTTTTATCAACAAGCGAGGTAGCCGTTAATAATCCCAACTAATATTATAAATGCGAAAGTAACTCTGTCTGTCTGTCTGTCTGTCTGTCTGTCTGTCTGTCTGTCTGTCTGTCTGTCTGTTACGCTTTCCCGCTTAAACCTCGCAACCGATTTTGATGAAATTTGGCATAGAGATAGTTTGAGTCCCGGGAAAGAACATAGGATAGTTTTTATCCCGGTTTTTGAAACAGGGACGCGCGCGATAAAGTTTTTCTGTGACAGACAAAATTCCACGCGGGCGAAGCCGCGGGCGGAAAGCTAGTATTGTATAATTGATTTTGATTTTTAATGGGCTATAACGGTTGTTTAATGTGTTCTGGACTTGGAATTGGTATAATTATAATTGAATATTATTTTTGACGAGCAAACGAGAGGTGTAATCTCGCTGGCCGTGCTCTGCGGTTAGACACCACCAGGTTATTCGTGCTGCCGCGAGTGGGCGCGTCTTCATACGTTACTTTGACCGGGGTTGAGTTACCGGTGGTCAATGTGACGTATCAAGTTATAGCATTTGGTTAATATACTTATATCACAACCTTACCGTGATCTTGAACTATATTTAGTGTAATAATACATTTTAACTTTAGTGGTGTAACAGTATTTAATATCATTATGAAATTACTCAGTAAAAGTACAATTGGATAAATCACTACAGAATTATGCCAGCGAAAAAATTATTTGAGCGTGTAATAATGCACGAAGATATTGTATAACGGAATGTCGATTACCTATATTCCGTTGTATACAATAGTCTGCCAATCTTTTTAATAAATATCTATACATCACATCTTGTAATGTAATGTTGTTTTTAATGCATAATGCACCTACATTTTATGTGTAAAGTGAATGGTGTAGCGCAAAGTGACTTCGATAAATTTACCTAAACTGTCTAGTTACAGCTGTAAATATTAAAACTGCTTAGTCTGAGATCCACTTGCGTCTACTTTTATATAACTCAATTCATATACATAATTGAACCGACAATTTGTCAAACATAATATTATTAGTCTGCTTTAGACAACATTCAAGATTGAAAGTGCCGCAAGTGAACCTTCATGGCGTTGGCGAACTACGAAACATAAGTATTCTGAAACGGTGTCGTTTTACAGCGACTTAGAGCAAATGTCGTGTGCCTACATTACAGCCGTGTAGTAAGTGTACTGAAATGTATCGTTTTCACTGTATACCTAACTAGAACAGTGTCGTATAAGTACTACACGTGCTGAGTGTACTGAAACGGTGTCATTTCATTTTACATCAAACTAGAGCAGTATCGTGTACAGCACGTGCTGAATGTCGTAGTTTCGTGTACATTGAAACGGTGTCGTTTGGTTTTGTATATCAAACTAGAGCAGTATCGTGTACAGCACGTGCTGAATGTCGTAGTTTCGTGTACATTGAAACGGTGTCGTTTGGTTTTGTATATCAAACTAGAGCAGTATCGTGTACAGCACGTGCTGAATGTTGTAGTCTAGTCTGGTGTACTCACAGCGTGCAGCAGGCCCTGCGTGGTGGGCGGCGCGACGTGCAGCGGCGTGTACACCTCGTCAGTATCCTGGCGCACGTACAGCATGACGCGCTCGCTCAGCGGCGGCGTGCTCGTGCGCGCGCGCTTGCCGAGCACGCCCTCCAGCTCCAGCGAGTCCTTGCGGTCGCTGTAAGGGGACAAACCGCCCACGTCTGGACGGTACCTGCAACAAAACGTAAACGTTTGTGTAACCATGAAACGTGCCGTCCAGATCTAGAAAATAGGGGTATGATATGTTACAAATATGGTCAATATGGTTACCTAATGTTAGCACTAATTTACCAAAGAGGACACAATAGAAACATTTTCACGGTGTCAATAATGATAGAGAAATATAGAGATCCGTGAAGATAAGCCGTCCACATCTGAAAGATATTTTACAGAAGTTTGCATAACTTACGAAAGCGACATTTGACCTAGCCAGTTAGTTCTTTAATTGACATATCCCTGCGTGCAATTAAGTATAATCTGCTACCACACTAAGTGGGTCGTCAAAAATGCAAATGTATCTGATAATAAACTGCTAAAATATAGTTACATCATGCTAATCATGAAGTTTATTGTAATGTGAATCGATTTGCATATCCTAACTAAGTACTTAATACCGCTAGAAATCTATAAAGGAAATAAGAACTTTCTGCTTGTTCCACTTAGATAGTTCAATTAAATGGGTTTATTGACGTCGTCAACGTTATGTGGTATGGTCATATCGTATCATATGTGAGGTACTTACGCTGGCGCGTCAGGTGGGAAGTGGTTGTGGAATTTTAACGCTGGTGCTTGCGGTTTCGCTGCGTGTAGTAAGAAGGGTGAGGCGCCTTTCAGGTGTGCTTCAGCTAATGCGGCCTCGTCGTGCCCGTAGAAACCTTGTATGTCCATCCCGGCTAACTTGTCTATGTCTTCCGCTGGACTGAACAGTACTGGAGGTTTCGACAAGTCCGCCATTGAGTAGAACTCGCTTCTCTCTGTCACTGGATGATATATCTCATCCAACTTCTTTCTATTCGTGGCTGACATTTTTCGCTTCGCTGCTCTTCTCTCTTCGTCTCTGGTCTTTCTTTCGGCACCCTTCAATAGAGCAAAAAGATAGTCGATTAAAATCTTGGTCTATATTTTTTACATATTAAAAATAGGACTGCAATGCATTTTTTCTAAACTTTTATATGATTAGTACCTTATCACAAAACACTTTGATTTGACAGTATCCTCGGTGGTAGACTTGAGTGTCTCGTGGATCCTCAAAGGTGTCAATTTGTATATGCAGCGGTAAACCCTGTAACAAACAAATTAACTTGCTGTTTATTTTAATCTTTAAAAAAAGTATGATCAAATTATGGATGCGGACATAAAAGAACCAATCGAAAACGTTGAGAAGAGAGATCAATGTTCTATAATTCTGTAATTCGCGTGTTCCTCATATGAATCGCCTCATGCATAGTCAATATAAACAAATCAACTAATTTTTGACTACAGCAATTTCACAGTTGAGTTTTACGGTTGTCTAGGAATCAAGACAAAAAACGGTTTTAATAAACGTTCATAAGGGATAATTGCGATAAATTTACGAATAAGGAAAAATATGCACGTGTCTGGATCGAATCGCGTTAAAACGTCTTAATTGCGTCGGTTCGAGGTCGCCGCCGCGTCACCGCGTGGCTGATAGGCAATCGCGAGCTGATAGGAGACAGGTTCGGTATCAAACGCAGGGCGCGTGTGTGCCGAGGCACCGGGCGGAGCGGTGCCACTAACTCTATCCGAATATTTTATTAATTCGAGTTCTTTTATTTAAACCAAAAATAGCCCACAAGGTAATTTCAATACTTTATTTAACAACATACAAAAAGTATGACTCAAAAGTTAAATCAAATTACACCACAATATGACAAGGCCAAACTGTTGAGCATAATTTATAAGTAAAAAGTTACATATAAAGTACATTACGATAAAAGAAAAACACAAAAGTATTTTCATTTATCTGGGCTCGGCGCATGTTTTAAAATGCATTACTTTCAGCGGATTGATTCGCGCCGCTGCAGCTACTTGCTTGCGCGCCGCCCAGCGCGCGGTTATCGAGGTGTCTCCGGCGACAACGGGTTACCGACCTCGTGCGTTCACGTCCACGCATCGTAACATTAATTTACATACTTTCAGTGTGGTAAACTTAATTAACGTTTTGCAGTACAAAATAAACTTAATGACACTTGTAGATTGGAACTACTCATCTTCGATTTCCCACACTCATTAAAAATCCTATTAAACAAGACTCGCCGTTCTCATTTAATCATGCTCCAATACAATTTTATTTATAAATTAATTGAAGGGCCATGAAGCACAAAGTTAAAATACTTATGTTAATGATTGTCATCGACGTTTTCCTTATCATGTTTTTAACAGAACATTGGCATATATCATCATGTTTATAAAATCGCAATAACATGATAATTGATACGGTATGCACCTGCGTTATTATTACGATTAACTTGATCGTACAAACCTTTACACCCTTTTGGCTGCTGAAATCCGTACTCAGGCATTGCACGGCGATATTGATCTGAAAAAAAAAAGTTAATTAAATTAAAATGTTGACATTAAAGCATTTTTCATTAATCTACCTATTACGCAGTTCATTGGAGACAATTAATAAAACTGGCCATGGAAATTACAAAGTTATTACTGTGTTAATATTCGCGTATGTCGAAGCGAACGCACATCCTGGCCAGGGAGACAGGCGCCAGGGTTGTCGGGATCGTAGAGCGACACGGCGCGGCTGCCAACTAAGTTTATGATTGGTACTAGAAAAGCGTTAAGCGACCGATGGATTTTCATTGAAAATCTAGACGCAAGTGTGTAATCGCGTAAGGCGTTTTTAGAGTAGCAGCCGGCGGCAGGGCGGCGCAGCGCGGCGCCCGCCCGCTCATTACCGCGGTCTATGCAAATGACCCTCTCGCGTTTTTACTCGCCGCCGCCACCGCCACCGATCACTGTCCGAACGCATATTATCTGTCGCAAACAACTCGCATCCGCTACGGTTTTGCTGTCCAACAATAAATAATTATGGATATCGATAACTGACTCGCAACCGCTAAGTAATTTGCAGCAATAAAAGAAACCCTAGGAAAAACACACATTGTAGAGACTTGTAATGACGTGAGATTTCCATTCTCAGCAATTTCAGCTAGTTAGCCATTTCTAACCTCGGAGCTTGTCTGATGTGATCATGTAGAGTCAGAAGTCATTAAACGCTTATTACTACCTCCTTCGGTATTAGCATATTGCAATATAATAGAGTCGACTTGAGGTAGACCATTAATTGTTTGATGAATATTGAAAAGGCTATATTCTACGTACATTATATTGTCAATGGACTCCAGGTACATGTATGTGTCCAGTTTTATGTAAACAATTTAAAGGCGTACTTTTGTTATTATTCAATATTGTAATGAGCGTAAGCATGGCGCGGCGCGGGGAGCCGCTGGCCGGCGGATGCGGCGACTTTTTGTTTCGCTTGCCAAAGTCGCTCGGCCAAATAAGGTGCAAGGAGTCTATTTAATTACACCGTAATAAGACGTGTAATAAAATCATGCCTTGACTTTTAATTTTGTAAATAATGACCGACTACAAATTATTCTATACTTACATATAAATATGCACATATCTTTGCATTTCTGTAGTCATTCGCACGTTCAATAAGAAGTATGATCGTATTTGCAACTCTTGTTTGTAAATATAAGGTATTCATTTACACTCTTAAAGCATAACTCTTTGTTATGTCTTTCCGAGACGCATTTTTATTATGTGGCTGGACCACACATATACAATACTCTTAAACATTTTTTAAACTTCAATTCGACTACTGAGAAAGAGAATTCAATAAATTATGTTACAATATTGTGAAGGAAGAACTTTTATGTCGGTATTTTCTTTATTTCTTCTTTTCAGCCAAATGACGTCCACTGCTGGACAAAGGCCTTTCTTTATTTCATGGTACATGTATTAGTTATATTATTTTTATTCTTTATTGCAGTCTCCCCATGTTTATTGAGTAATGAAATTTTGTTTATATGGATGTTTTCCATATTTATTTTATTTCATAGGAATAATAGAGTATGAGAATAAGACAAACCTTGGCTGCGCTCTCGAGCGGGTTCCAGTAGACGGCGATGGCGTTGTGCGCCACCTCCTCGATGCAGCCGGCCAGCCCGATGCTGTTCTTCGTGTCTGCAACAAAACGGACCATTGTCATTAATCTTGTCTTCGAGTAACTGTGCAGTAATGGCGGCGGAGATTTCGATTAAGATATCAACGTACAATACGTCATCGGTGACGGAAATTTATTTGCGGGGCGTGAATAATCACGTGATAGTATCGATTTATCAACGATTGCAATGTTTCCACTTCTGTCTCTGCCCACCCTACAGGGCTCTGGCAATTAGTGCCCATCCCAGCTACCGTGGATCGCGACTCAACGCATAGGCAATTTGCTCGACGTCTCTTCATTGATTAGTATCTGCTTGGTAACTTACAAACTAATCAATGTTAAGGGATAATGTAGAGCCTACTTGATCCTACTTTTCCAACGTTGAAATGCCTAATTAAAATCATAATACGGACTTAGTATATGGTCTGAATAATACTGTAAATAAATACCTTCCCTTCAGCAATTAAAGCTAATAAAAACGATAATTTGTCGAATGGGTCAACACGAGATATGCAGATTAGTGGGCGTGGGTGTCATAGTTATAAATAATTCAGTGTTTATTTCGTTACAGTTGTTTATTGCGTTTGGTGCAAAGGGGCTGCATTAGCGACAGGCGCGGGAGGCTAGTGAGTAATCGCCGCAATGATGTAAGTAGGGTTACCATGTCGAAACTATTGTTAGCTTAATAAAACATAATTATCTAATCGGCTTATGAAAAAAATTAAAAAAGGGTTTTTCTCTTCCACAAAGGATATTTTTTCTAATTGCTTTTATCTGTATAAGAAGTGTAAAAAATGATATCAGGTTCGGATAAATTAGATTATATGGCAACCCTGCGTGCGTGGGCGCCGCGTATCAGTCCGCCCGCGATCTGTGCGGGCGCCGCGCGCTGACGTGTTTATGGGGCGCGGGGGACGCCGCCCGCCCTCGGGCTGCCTTATTGTCTTAACAGCCTCTCGGCGATTTACGACCAAAGTCCTGTTGCGTGTCGCGTGAACATATCTTGACGTGTCGCAAGCCAATGCAAGATTTATAAATTTTATAGGTACCTACTTTGATTGCTTACATCCTCACCGAACTTGTTACATATTGGATAACCATTGAATCAACCTTAGCAAATGTGAACAATATATTGCCTTTATAAAAATACGTTATTATCTTGTGTAAATGTCAGTATGTATTTAATACCATCCAAACAGAGATTTACAGTAGATTAATCCATGAATCAGTGATGCGTGGTAATAAGCGAAAACTGTCAAAAGGAATAAGCGCGGAGGCGAAGAGGCTTTGGTACGACGAGCAGCGGCCACGCGATGCAAGAAGACACGTAGGTAACCGGAGCCGGCATTGTGCGGGCGCGCCGTGCGTCGCGGCCCGCCCGCCCCGCGCCGCTTTCACACGCTCGCGCAGGCGCACAGGTGTCCGGTGTCGCCCTTGACGATCCCAAGTTCGTTCATTCCATTTGTATACCAGTACCTCTAGTAGGAAAAACTTTCGAGTTCGTTTCGTTGCGTATTCAAAGTGTCATCGAAAAATTTTGTATGAAAAATTAAACAGCGCCCCCTAGGGCGGCTATAATATAGGGGGCGCTGTTTAATTTTTCATACAAAATTTTTCGATGACACTTTGAATACGCAACGAAACGAACTCGAAAGTTTTTCCTACTAGAGGTACAGTAGGTACATCTCACGAACTTAACCGATGACCAACGATTTTTCACCATTCCGTTACTATCTCACGTTAATGCGTGCTTATCTTGGATTAGATTGAAATATAGGTATTTATTTGTTTACTCTTGGCAGAAAGTCATATTAATTACGTATTATAACAAAATAAGATAATAAAAATATATGATTTACTACATATGAGATTCGTAGTCCAATGTTGGTAGTCACGAAACATACTGCTGTAGAGTCGATACCATCGCGATTATAGAAGTGGATCATGAATTTTCCGGGAATTTCCCAATGTTAAAGCTTATTTGAAATCTCTATCAAAGTTTTCATCAACCCTGTCTTATTTAAGACCATAATTTAAAGGACAAAATTCCACTTTACTTAGGCATTACCTCATTTTGAATAATAACTACAACTAAATAAAAAATAAACTTAACTAACATCGAGATAAGCTAAAAACCTTGACATTAAACTTGGCCCGACCGCGCGAATTAATGGCTTCCATGTTTTTATTTTCCTTGAGATTTAATTTATAGACATTGCTTGTGGCCACGGCGTCACTCATTACAAATGCTACAGCCCTCAGTTAAGTAATGTTAGAATGTGTAAAGTGTCATATATCAGCGGTGTTTACTCCGCGCCGGCGATTAATAAGCGAGCATTCCAGCGATGACGCAAACAACTATTCGACCGTCGAAACCTCGGTCCCGCTATAAAAACGATTTTTCACTAACTCATAACGTTTAATAGCTTACATTTTAATAAATAACGTGTGTAATAACTATTAAAACGTAAACACGGTTTAATCACTGGAAACCATATAGAAATGGCGCGCGTTTATGTCTAATTAATTGAGATCTGAAACGTCCCGAAATCCCATTAAATGAATAAGATATTTAAGAATCTTAATGAAAAATACATTTCAAGTCGTAAGTTATGCTAAGATAAGAACGAAACGACTTTGCAGAATTATCAAAAAATAATATTTTCCTAAGGTTTGTAGCTAAGATGCGAGCGTTGCGCGGGCGCACGTCGGCTCATCGCGCAATTAACATGCTAATGAGCGCGCTCCCCGATATCATCGCGGTAATTATGTCCGTGCGCGACTATATTGTAGCATTGCTTATATCTCCTCCGCGCCTTTTAGACAACTCGACACGCATGAGCTAACGTCCCTCGAACTATGTCGTGTTTATGCGCAACCTCGGCGCACTTCTCGGCCGCAAGCAGGTGTTTTGACTTCGATACTAGGACGGAGATTTCTCACGAATTTTAACGATTTCCTGTTACTCAACGACGTACTTCATAGAGCTCATCTCGTCAGATATCTCTATAATGGTTTTATTTAGCTTCGTCTCTCGGAAACGCTGCATACTGCGTTATATCTTTAATCAGTTTACTGTCGGAATGTGTCATTATGAGTGACCATGTGTAATGTAAGCTCGGAGCGACGGTGGTGTGTCGCTAGCCGGGCGGCGCCAGAGTTGTTTTATTTTTAGTCGGGGCGATTGATAGGTAAGACGGGCAGTGTGGGCCGCGGCTGTGGTGCGCGTTATTTATGCAAATGTCCTAACGAGATATAATGGTGGGCAGCGGGGTGCGCGGGAGTCGCGTCCGCCCGCAGCACGGTAATTAGGTCCTGCGTGCGGCGCCCGGCCCCGCGCCCCTCAGCACGCAACTCCGCGCCGTGTTACTGTGTCGCCTCGAGCACGACTAGCTTTTTATGCTGTAAATATCGTGCCTCAATCGTTTGTAGCTGCTACCGGCGGATCGTCGCTCCCGTGCAAAAACCAACCAGTCATTGTTTTCGTACCTATCATCTTAATTCACTCGTAATTACATAATCACGCAAGCGTGTAGAGCATGTCTGCCGCTGAATTCTTATCTTAATGTCAATATTGATGAGCACTTACCGGCATCTAGTATCCTCTGTTTGACTGAATGTTGTCTGCCATGCCAAAATTGCCACGCTTTGATTTCATCCTCAGGAGATTTTTCTTCTCGGAACATAAGCATAACAACACTCTGAAACAAACGAGAATAATTTGAATACAAATAAATGCTTAATTACATAACCCGTTTCAATTTGAAAACCAAAAGATAAACAGGATTTAAAATAGATATCCTGGTGTAAGTGTGTCTCTATCTATATGTATGTATTTTACATAATATATTTATGCCTCAAAACCAGCAAATAGTGGTTAGTTGTAGAAACTAACATCGTGAAGCTGCGTCATGTAATTTATTGCTAACTTTTAATGGCGAAAGTACAAACGAGTGCCTTGAGCATTTCGCGAATACGCAAAACGCGATTACCAACGCGCGTTTCTCAGCTATTACGCTAAACGAGCGCGATTACGTCGTTACGGCGGGCATCTTAATATCCTACGCGTTTAAAACGCTTCTTAATAAAAATCACGTGAAATCTTTTGACGGTTTCCGTTCAGTTGAAAAAGTAAAATATGCTGTTAGGACGATTTCTATAGACGAGTTAGAAAATGATGTGAAAAAGAAGTGGCTCGCGCGAGGCGTGGTGGCAGCGTGGCCTTATAGGGCTAACGACGAGAAAGCACCGCGATCGTCGCCTCGGATTGATGGATCGGCGCGGGCGACGCGGCCGCAGCGCAGCCGCGCCCTGCGCGCGCCCGCTCCAATCATTGCGATGCAATACTTTAAAATCAGATGCAAATACGCGTCGTATTGGACTTAGACGTCATTATAAAGTCATGAATATGCAGAAATGGCGATAAGCTGAACGAGATGAAGTATTCGGAGGGCAATTAAGCTCGCACTGCAATTAAATACCGCAAGGACTCTACAATGTTGTCGGATGACATTAGAGTGCATTTTTCCAACCACAGTGTAACTGATAGTTTTGTTTTTGTAATCAAATTAATCAAATAAGCTTTCTCCAGAGATAATGAGCGTAAAGTCGACGGAAATGGGCATATTAGAAGACAAGTCGCGCATAAAATTGTAACGGTGCACTCCTATCTGACCGCCCGGTGTCGACCCATCGCTAATATAAATACATATAAACATTTACTGCTTTATTAGAATTCCTCTACATATACATAGGTATTTGATGAATACATACATAATACATGCGTAACTGTAAATCGGAATCAGTATATTATCGCAGCTTTAGCATTCAAATTAGTGACAAGCCGGTAAGAATTAAATTGAGGTTTATTGGACGCTGATATTTTTATTATCTGCGTTCAAAGACATAACCATTATTTACAGAGATACTAACTCAAATCTTATGTAGATATCTACTCTACTTTTGTTTATTGTATTGAAATTAATGATTCATAAACACTTACCAGCGAATTTATTGTCTTAAGTACTGGCTAATGGTTTACGTAATTTAGTACCTATTTTGAAGTTGCAATTGAACCGAACAATCTTAGCTATTGTTGCATGACAAAGACGCGGTGCGGCGATAACAGCGATCATAAACATAGTTATTAAGGCTTNATACACCATGTGGTGTGATGCAGTGAAGTATATTCCGCTTCCATTGAGGGGTGGATATCATGCTCACATTGTAGAAGATGGTGTGGGAATTGTGACGATGATGACGAAGCCAGCCATCATGTCTGCGAGTTCTGCCACTCCAAATAATTATCTTTTTGCCTGATAGTTCTCATTACCCCATCTAACCTCAGGGGGGTACCCCATCTTACCAGCACCATGGGGTAAGACGGGGTGAAACCCCTTTTTTTCTATTTTTATTTTTGTCCTAAAATGGATAGTTAAAAGTTTCTAATATTGCCAAATATTAAAAGAGTATTAACTAATTGTTAATTAAAAAATAAATATGATTGTCTAACTATGTATATTTTTCTTTTAATGGTCTTCAAAGCTTAAGTACCCCATCTTGCCACCCTCTCCCCTACTAACTCAAATCTTATGTAGATATCTACTCTACTTTTGTTTATTGTATTGAAATTAATGATTCATAAACACTTACCAGCGAATTTATTGTCTTAAGTACTGGCTAATGGTTTACGTAATTTAGTACCTATTTTGAAGTTGCAATTGAACCGAACAATCTTAGCTATTGTTGCATGACAAAGACGCGGTGCGTGCGATAACAGCGATCATAAACATTGTTATTAAGCAATTTCATAATTAACTCTCTCGGTTTTAATAAGTGTAAAGAACTAAACGTATACGTAATGATAACACAACAGCTGAAAACACCAAATATGTTAACAATTTTACCATATTTTATCAGATCCATCAATTTATTGTTGAGTTAAATATTGGACTGGGATAAGTGCGAGTATCATAATCGCAATACTCACTTATGTATGAATTTATGAATTATATTATTGACAGATTGGCAGGTGATTACTATGTAAATAAATGCAATAAACTACAGCGCAACAGCATTGAAGAATGGGTAATATTTTCAAGCTGTTTTTCAATATTATTTTTTCTGCCATAACTGTTAAACTGTCACTATTTCATCGTTATGTTAAACTTTTAAAAATATTAAACCGGTACTTAATTTATTTACCGATACAATAATTATACCTTCTACAGAAAGTGGCAGTCGTGGTCGTGAGCGCTGAAACGAGTGCACATTTATTTTTTGATATAAATATCGAAAAGCTTGTTGTTTTTTAAGCCCATACTTATTTTAAACGTTGCATTTCACAAGTATGCCTACGTATAGTTTTGCCTTCTCGGCCCAATTGGCTTCACGTTTTCGGGCCGTCAATTAATTAATCGAGTGTATCGACATTCGACCCGATTTCAGGAGCTCGGTTGACAATCTCAGTTATCTGATTAAGCACGCTTTCTCTCGCGCCGTGTGACAGCGGCTCTGTTGTGCCCATGCGTCGCCCGCCGATTACGCTTTGACAGCCACTCCACATTAATTTCGTCACTCTATTTGAATAAATAAGCAATTGCATATATTTCACGTAGAACCGCGCAATCAGATGATCTGTATCATATGTTCATGTGTGACAGCTCGTGATCATTAATCTATTTGCTGAACTGATAATACGGTACATTTACATAAGTCTTTGTTTCAACATATTGATCAACTGGGCACGTAACACTAATTTCTAGTAAATAAAATTATTTTACCGATTAATCATAGACATTTGCTGTAGTATCTACTCGTAACTATAAATTATTGTATATTTTTCTTTCTATCTCTACTCATAGTCAATAGTCTCGTGATAAATGGTCTCATTAAGAATAGTGTTTGAACGTGTATCCACTTTATTCCTATATCGGAGACTATTTCTCATCGATGCTGTTGTTACGAGAATAAAAGAGGATTCTTAGACACCCCGCACCTGTATTATTGGTGCCCATAAATCGTGACTTAATGACGTCGTTAACGTATCAGCGAAACAATTACTTTGATATTATCTCTTAGCGTTACGCTCTTGTGGATTTTTATGTAATCAACCAGTGCTGGGTGCTGGGTAGATCGATGCACGAGCTGTGAGCTACTCCTCAAGTGCTCATCATTAACATCATCTGTTTGCATACAAACAATGCGTGCTGTCGTTAGATAACGTCGCGTGAATGCGCGTCGCGCCCGAGCTCGGATTGCGCTGGAGGCGCGGTGGTCACAGCGCGGGGGTTTTTGCCCTTCGCAAAGCTTCCTAGTTATTCGCCAGGCCAAGCAGAACTCATCCATCAGGCCCTATCTGTTTTATGACAATTATTTATGTTCGCTGCGTGGCAAAACTATTTCGCTTACCGTTGAGCTTTATCGATAGAGCAAAAGTAATGTCTTGCAGTCTCGATACGCTGTATCTGATACGGATACGTCTGTTTGTTAAGTGCACCAGTTGTCTGTGCTAGTTGTTTTAACGCCTAGGTTATTTGCTGCGAATGTTCTCCGCAGTGAATGTCGGTTTCAACATAAATTCTGAACGGAACTGTGGGTGTAACTGCCGCGCGGTTGCCTACGATCTGCGTGTCGGTGTTTATTTCACATCAGGTGAAATATATCAATGACATTTTTTGCTCCGTAAACAAAGCTTTCCAGACTCGAGTGTAGAGTCAATTGAATCAGGAATCAGTGGTTTAAAGTTATATTTATGCATATATATTAAGCCCGCGGTGCGCTTGGCACGGCCGCCGGGGGCTGCGCCGGCGTCGCCGCGAGGCGCGGGGAGATCGCTAGAGATGCGCAGCTTCCGTTCGCGCAGACAAATTGCCGAGCGTTCTGCACATCCGCCGCAACACCAATCGCCTCCTAATTGAATATTGAGCAACATCGTAATATCCATTTTTATAAATGTTTTAACGTCGAGGTATAAAAATAGGAAAATAATTTATAGAACACGGGTATCGTTCGTACAGTAATGATAGCAATTTACTTATGGAGGAACTAGCATTTAGATGATGGGCTATGATAATATTATATAGGAAAATGTTCATTATAATAGTCGTTGGTGTGATTGCATTAATTGCAGTAGTGCCTACGTTCATTGCCGCCGCTAAATCTCGATTGAATCGAAGCGATCCCGCAATCCGTCGAGCGTCGGATTAACATCCAAAGTTGCGTCGTAACACTAATCTGCTTAAATGTCGAAAGGAAATGTCAGATTGTAAAGTGCAGGGTTCTGGACCAGCCGTGACGCGGCTTAACCCGCCGTACCTACCGCTTAGAGAGCAGCTTTCAATCACGCTTTGATCCAGCACATTTAATAGGTTTGTAGTCACAGATCGTTTCGCATTTGAAGCAATCCCAAAAATAATAAAAACAAAATGCATTTTTTTTTTGTTTTATCATTAGGTAGGTGGTTAAAATGTTCATTTGATTTAAGCTGAGATTTTGTAATTGACCAAAAAAGTTACGTCATTTATGCATTCAATTCAGCTCATGCATTAATGATCTTACAGATATGTGTCATGCAGGTTGCATAATTGTTGGATCTCCTAATGTCGCTGATCAGCGATCGCAGGCGCTTGTCTGGGCGAGCGCGGGCGCGATGCTATCGCGAGTGACGCTAAATACGCGCGCGCTGTGACAGCTTCAATAT